AGGCGGAACATCTTGGGTCAACTTTGCAGAGCTCGATCGGATGCAAGGAGACGAAGCCACCTAACTTACCAGGCAACGGACTAGGTTTTACATCCCAGGAACAATATACGGATCGGTTGATAAGTCGTTTTGACACAAAAGGCTCATGAATCAGAAGAAGTATCTCGTAGTAGTGTTCCAGTTCAAGTACTAGTAGTCGGCATTTGTTCCATTCTTCATTAGCATTTACTGCCGACCTGTATTTACAGTGTCAATTTCTCGAGTTATGAAAATTACCTGTGAAGTAGCATGATGCTGTTAACCATGGTAATATTTTAAGAGCATCTGGTCACAATATACACAACTACTACATTCCAATAGGTCGATTATCCTAACAAACCTCCGATCACGATGATCATGAAAAGCTGACAATATTTCCGAATAAAACTGACAGTGCGTTTTGAAATTTTTATCCAGTCTGTTGGGCGTGGATTGATCCCTTGCTGAAGGAGTCGAGGCGGATGAAGGACTATCCCGGGTACTCTGTCCGCGTGTATTGTGCTAACAGACATAAATACCGAGGGTTGGGACAACTGTCTCATAGGATGACATACAAGATGCATAAAATAGCTGTGCCCTCCAGATAAGCTTGCAGAACAGAATCTGGTGCGTTGTGGTCATTCTGTACCGGAGTCCGGCTCATTATACTATCTCAAGCAAATCGTTATCCATGATTAGTAGTTACACATAAAAATAACTATACTTCTTTCGAGATCTTTACCAGGTTACCTACAACGTACTCCGTAGGGTTTGTGTGGGGCGGCCTTCCCGGGTACTTCGTACTAGTAATTGTGGGGTCTGGAGAGATGAGCCACTCACCATCGCATCAAATCTCACACAGTTGAGACTTGTGGGTCAATCACAGACCGCCTGTTGGTCCCTGGATCATTACTAAGGAACAAGACTAGGGTAACCCTGGAGAATAGGTAGCTACCTAATTTTCTCGGATGATCGCTGCTTGGTAGCCTGTCCCCAAAGCGCCCCGGCATGAACATGATTAACAACACATCAGCTTGGTCCACCCTATATAGTCCGTGCTCGGCCTTCAGAACTGTATAGCTGTGTGTATAGACGCATATTGAGAATCATTCGGAAAATGTCCTTACCATGGCCCCAATCGGGAGACCGATCCAATCTTGCTGATTATGAACAGCAAATGATAACAGCCGATTGTCAGACATGACCTTCTACGGAGATACCGATGACATATTACAGCTTATCAGCCGGATACTGCCTAGATAGGCGAACAGACCTTCGCGGTTTTGATGTATTACAATCATTTCGAAGTAGCTCAAACCTAGTGCTCTCGCCCCGGAACTTTCTAGCAGATGCCAGTCGTCCATGCATTGCCTATCAATGGCAAAGTTGAATAAGTCTACTCGTATCTCAACCTGCCTACATGGCGCAGTTCGAGTTCAGAGGCTTGCTTCGCCTCGTATTGAGGTATGTAGCAATCAACCCATAACACAACTGGCGAGGTAAAAGTGATGGCGACAAAGAAGCGGTAACACCCAACATTGAGCCATTGCCGGTTCTTACAACATTCTGTTGCTTGTCGCAAGCGAGTTTCAGTATGATATCAGAAGTATGATAAACAAGGAACATTCTGACCAATGCGGTGCGACCACCTCAGTTGACATCTGGCCTCAAAAGGTAAAAGTTCTGCCTTGAGCTGATATATACGCATGCAACTAAAATGGAGAGGCAAGATTCACCGAGCCTCCTGTGCGTTGCCGGTGCGTCGTAAACCGAACCTTTATCCAAACCATTGCAAATATTGCGTTTGGACTGCATGCCTTGCTCGCCCCAGTCCCACTTTTTAATCTTCCAAAAATGACTAGCTTATCCACCGTGCAGGTGCCAATAAGTCCTATAGGCACATGGTCAGCAATGGTGGAGTCAGACTACATATCATATACATCGATATTGCAGGCCTTGGCGAAATTGACTCGTTCTACCCAGCGTGGCCGCGAGCAATACATGTCAATTCTTACGACCCCTTATGAGAGGCACTTAGCTCCATGACGCTGCAGCTTACCCGTGAAACTTTGTGATAGCAGATATTAGCGCGCTGGCCGAGCCCGAACGTTCGCCATCGGATCCACTCCCAGCATCCATGAACCCCGAAACTGGCGACAGCTTCTCTCTCTTATCGTTCACCGACTCTCTACCACTTGCCTTGCTCGGCTGCCTTTCCCAAGTTTCCATACAGGACATGATTGCAATCCCTCGTTGACCTTCAGCTCGCCACAGACATGCCTTCCTGAGCAGACAGTCAGGATGGCACCGCACATACTATGACTGTCACGACACCAATTATCGCTGCACTTCATTGCTTGTATGGGCCAGGAATGGTTGAGCTGTTTATATGCTACAAATGTCCGCTACATGAAGGTCTATTCGTGTCAGCATGTAATCGACTTACGCGCAGCATTGTCAAAACAAAGGCCCGTCAACTCACACCAAAGCTTGTGTCAAAACTTGTTTCTGCGAGGCGAGCTCCTTGGAAGTTCAGGTCCAGACCTCGTCGTGTTGAGCCATAGACTCGATATAGGAAATGCAAATTAATCTAACAAGCGCGCCTTGCCTTCTCCTTATCCGGGGCTCGTTGTCGAGTCGAAGCTCTGCACACAGGCTGGACAGAAAGTCTCGGTGAAGCCTTTGTTGCCTATGTTTACCTTTCGCTTGGATTACACGGAGACTTGCCTTTAGATGACTACTTATACGAAAATATTCGGGCTTCTCCGGTGTCTGAGTGGCTGTGACTCCTTGGAAGTGGCGAACGCTATAATAGCCTACAAAAGAGTGTCAGCTCTAGATAAAGACGACCACGGACATAGCTGCTCGATATCGTTCGGATATCTATTGCTGTACTTATTGATACCAGACTCGCCAAAGGAGATACTTAGGGTGTAGAGTGTCTAATTAACTGAAGAATTATGTGTTTATTGATGTATAATTAACCCATTGAATCCTGCTGGGATGGGTTTAGTAGCAACGATAACGGGTACGTAAAGGCGACAGCAGATGATTTGGTCTTAATCGGTGCACTTTAATTCATCTCTTATAGTGTATTTGGCTGAAATCTCTTATGAAAGGTTCTTGGAGGTAAATATCTCTATATGTCTTATCTATTTAGATATAGTGGCAGATGTCGGTACATGCTTCTTCAGACATGGAACTGAAGCCCGAACAGGTGCTATTCAAGTGTGTTCTCAGTGAAGTCATTATGTTTCTTTCAATTGTCCTGCAGTAATAGATATAGTCTGGCGTATATCTACGATTATTGGTCTCGATTATAGATTTTTAGCTACTCATATAGCTAGATTGTTGCTCAGAATGGCAACACGCAGGCCAAGATATATAACAACGATGCATCTAACATTCCCATGTTGTCCCATCTACCGTAAAACCTGTCATACATACATGAACATGCCACATAAGCCATGTCAAATTAAAACCGACACTATTAAATCTAACAATAATAAATTAAAAAAAAAGATCGCAATAAATGCTCTCCACCCGATTTTTGATACATCCGACAACGGGGAATGAGCGCCGAAGAAGCGTATTTACAAGAACAATGTGATCATTTCGTCGTCTATTTTTTTTGCCTATAATGCTAAAGCACCGGATCTATTCGGCTCCGTAGCGAGCCCTGTAGTCCTTCAACCGCTGGATCTCGGACTCTCCGATCTTATTGCCCAACTTCTCGATCAAATCGTGAAGACCAAGCACTGCGCGAATGGGAATGTTTCCACCAAGGTCTCTCTGTGCAACACCGATAGCGCTCTTAGGCTCAGCGTCGCTGACCCTCTCCTCACGATCGAGGAGGACAACGATACCAGTAACAATACCGCCTTCCTTCTGAATGATGCTCACGGCCTCACGGATGGCGGTTCCGGCTGTGATAACGTCGTCGACAATGACCACACGCTTTCCCTTCAGAGGAGCACCGACAATGTTTCCTCCTTCGCCGTGGTCCTTGGCCTCCTTACGGTTGAAGGAGTAGCTGACATTGTCCCAGGTTCCCTTAGCAGACGCGGAGAGAGAGTCCCGCACCGCTAATTCATTCAGAACGGAGGCGCACACCGGAATGCCCTTATAAGCCGGGCCAAAGATAATATCGAAGTTGGGTGTGGTAGTACCGTCGGCCGCAACAGTTACAAATGGCGGGGCAGACAAGACACTGGCATAGGCCGCCGAGGTGGCACGGAGCAAAGGCGCAGTGTGAAGGAGAGACGAGGTGAAGAAGTAAGGAGATTCACGGCCAGACTTAAGGACAAAGGAGCCAAAGGAAAGAACGTTATTCTTCATCAACAAGGGAAGCAAAGTCTCCTTGTAGTCTTGCTCGGCGGCAGGAGCAGGGATGGTAGCGGCGGACATTGTTGTATTTCTTCCTTGCGACGACTTTTGTGTTTGATAGAAGAATTTCAGGGTTCAGTGGAACAAGGCTGTTAATTTGGGAGCCTCGATTGGTTCAACAAAAAAAAAAGTCCGGAGTAGTGAGATTCGGTGGTGAGACTTGTTCTGGGGAAAAAGACGGTCACTATCAGCAACGATCGATGGGTCGATTTTTTTTTATGCTTTTCTTTTAGGCAATTTCTCAAGGAGGGGCAAGGCGGGCGGAGGCCTTAGGCCAATGACAGGAATGAGGGGTCTGGAAGGAAGCCCGTGGATCGGACCGACGTATCGTGTTAGCTCTCCCTCTTTCCTTCTTCCCCCCAGTTCCTCCTCCTCTGCTTACCGCCCAATCTGCCTGTTTCAAACATCCTGGGGTAAACTGGTGTCCCTATATAGTCCTGCATTCCATTTTCTGGGCATTATAAAACCCTCCAGCTCTGTTGAGGGTCTGTAACTGACCGATTGGGAGTGGGACACGTGCCACAGGGCAACCTCCGAAGTCCGGCCTTCTTTACGATAGGTTATCTCATCTTCCCCTTGCTTTAACGTAAGGCCGGTTTTTTTCTTTTTTCCCCTGGGTCTTTCTTTCCTCTGAGACCTGGCTTTGTAGCAGTTTCTCATTCTTTCAATTCTTTCACGGTTGTTTGTAGGAAGATTTTCATTCGGTATATTAACATTGTGCTCGCTGGCAGGCCCGGTGACCGACAAGACCAGGAACGGTTAGAACAGTGATTAAGAGAACTGTTTTAACTTGGACAATTTGCATCAGCTCTTTTAAATCAGCAATTCTGTTATTGTAAGTTCAATCCTTTGGAATTTCCAGCCAAGCTGACGTTGCACTACAATTGTCATTCCGAAGAGATCCGCTGATTCCGGTACTGTTATCTAGTCTAACTGCACAATATGCATATCAAGGAAAAACTTGGCCAAAATGAGGCCGCTGGAAGAGTCGGCATCTCATTTGAGTTCTTCCCTCCCAAAACAGCGCAAGGTGTGCAGAACCTTTACGACAGAATGGACCGAATGCACGCATTAGGCCCGTCCTTCATTGATATCACATGGGGTGCCGGTGGACGGTTGTCAGACTTGACTTGTGAGATGGTTAATGTGGCCCAATCGGTGTACGGACTGGAGACTTGCATGCATTTGACATGTACAGACATGCCGACGGAGAAGGTAGATGCCGCCCTACAGGCTGCCTACAAGTCTGGCTGCACTAATATCCTGGCCCTTCGCGGTGACCCGCCTCGTGAGCAAGAGAAGTGGGAAGCTGCAGAGGGCGGACTTCGTTATGCGAAGGACCTGGTCAGGTACATTCGGGACAAGTACGGAAACCATTTTGACATTGGAGTGGGAGGCTACCCGGAGGGCGCAGACGATAACCCAGATGTGGACCTCTTGATAGATCACCTGAAGGAGAAGGTCGATGCAGGTGCTTCATTTGTTATCACACAGATGTTCTACGATACGGACCTTTTCATCGACTGGGTAAAGAAGTGCCGCGCCAAGGGAATCAACGTGCCTATTATTCCTGGTATCATGCCGATTCAGACTTATTCCGCGTTTATCAGACGAGCAACCTGGACAAAGATTCATATCCCCGAAGATTGGCTTGAGACCCTGGAACCCGTGAAGAATGATGATGCGGCAGTCAAGGAGATCGGAAAGGTCCTGATCGCAGACATGTGTAGGAGGCTTTTGGCAGCTGGCATTAACCATTTGCACTTGTAAGTTGGACTTCTCTGTCCTACCAAACCCGAAAGCTCATGAATGTTACTAGTTATACGATGAACCTGGCCCAGGCCACGCAGCTGGTCCTCGATGAGCTGAAACTTATGCCCTCCGAAGAGACCCCAATCCAGCGACCCTTGCCCTGGCGGCCGTCGCTTGGTCTTAACCGTAGGGCAGAGGATGTTCGCCCGATCTTCTGGCGGAACCGGAACTCTTCCTACATCGCTCGCACGCAGACATGGGACGAATTCCCGAACGGCCGCTGGACCGACTCCCGATCTCCAGCTTTTGGTGAGCTTGATTCTTACGGCATAGGCCTCAAGGGCACAAACGAACAAAACATTCAACTGTGGGGTGAGCCTAAGTCCATTCGGGACCTTTCGCACCTCTTCGTTAGTTATCTGGAGGGTAAGCTGGGTCGGTTGCCCTGGAGCGACACACCCATCAGCTCTGAAGCGAAAACTATCAAACCCAACCTAATCGAACTTAATAACCGGGGTATCCTCACTATTAACTCTCAGCCCGCCGTCAATGGAGCTAAGTCATCCCACCCTGTGTATGGATGGGGTCCGAAGAATGGCTTCGTGTACCAGAAGGCATACCTCGAACTCTTGATCCCCCCGTACTTGCTTGACGAACTGATCACACGCATCGAAAGTAACGAGGATCTCACCTACCACGCGGTTTCAAAGAATGGCGAATTGCGGACTAACACTCAAGATAGCCCCAACGCCTTGACTTGGGGTATCTTCGCGGGTAGAGAGGTTGTCCAACCTACCATTGTTGAAACAATCAGTTTTCTGGCCTGGAAGGACGAGGCATACCGCCTAGGTGAAGACTGGGCTAAGTGCCATGCTGCTACGAGCCCCAGCAGGAAATTGATCCAAGGCCTGGTGGACAACTGGTACCTTGTTAACATCGGTGAGTAAAGCCTAAAACTATTCCATCTTCATTTCACTTGCTGATCCTTCTATCCAGTCAACAACGACTTCCACAACACATACGATCTCTTTGAACTGTTCAAGGACTTGAACGTAAAAGATTTTGATGTCGAAGTCACCGCAGACAACGCCGACTCGAAGTCCCAGGAGGCCGAGGCCACCGCAAACTAATTTACCTACATCACGAACAACCCCAGCAGGCTATGCCTGCTCCACGACTTCTCTAGCATCTCTTCAACGATTTACTATGACTCCTAATTCAACATCTATATCTCAACGATACCTGCCTGGGGTCGATTCACCCCAAGGCGCGAAATGGCTTATGGTGACACGAATTGAAGATTCTCAACGATTTCTTCTTTGAGCGTTATTTAATTTCAACATGACTTTTAACATTCAAACTTATACCCCCACCCGATTATTTTCATTTCTCATCGAGCGCGAGAAGAATCTCAAATTCAACATCATAATCAAGTCTCCCTTAGAGCCCGAAGCTCAGGGGTCGTCAACCATGACCCCGCCTCCTCTTTCGCTTTTGTCTATACATTCTTACCTCAACCTTCTATCTCGCTTTTCTTTCTTCCTTTATTTACAACAGAGCAGGGCTACATAAAACAGGGTGATGCGATACCTTACGATAATTCAACACTATGGATGACAACGGAGTTGGGTTCATGAGAAACGAAAAAGTGATCCTTTTCAACACGGGATACGGAGTTTCCTCATGAAGTCTTTGATATATTTCACGAAATTTATTTACTCAAGTCTTGAATAGACATATAGACTTAAAAAAAAAAAAATCCAAACAAATTCAATGTTATAATGATGGCTTTACACTCTTCCTACTTTTTAGAGACTACGAAGGCCGGTCTATTTATATAGTTACCTGGAAAGGATACCTGGTATTGCACAACCGTTCATAACTATAACTGACGTCGCTTGAAAAGACGTTCAAGCATAAGAATAATACAAGAAATGAGGACCCGCCACTAAAGTATACAAAAATACAAGAACAATGTAAAGTACCAAAAGTGTCAGGTTGTCATACCCTGGAGAACTCTTCCTAGCGCACTCAGAAACCACCCAAGAGGCCTTATAAACCATACGATCCAGCTTCCGATAAGGATCATATACTCCACCGCTCGCCCTAGAAGCATCATGATAGAACCAAGAACACCAAGATAAATCACCACTTGACAAAGATCAGTCACAAAACGAGCAAGATCTTTCTCACTCGGTTGGGGCCAAACCCCTGTTGTGGTATAAATGGAGCAAGCATGCAGCAGGTTTCTGAAAACATGCAGGCAATGCTCAACCATGTTCAGAATACAATTCAAAGCAATTTTGAACAAGACAGTCCTTGAATGCCGATTGTCTATTATCTGCGTAAAGAGGCCTTGTGCCTGCGCAGCCGACAGGACGAAGATGTCCATGATCAGACTCATAGTGATTGAATTCAACAAGCCCCGGTAGTCTGCCTGTACCGCACTTGTCTGTAGATCGGCACGCAAATCAGCGACCCTGGAGCGAAGATGATCTTCCTGTGTGGACTTGCCACCTGATTTGTCGTTTTCCTTGTGATCTGTCTTACGATCGTCCTTAGGATCGTCGACTTGTAGGCCATCCAACTCGGCTACCTCAACGATTCTAGCGGTCTGTGCTGGCGCTTTTGGATATCGCTGATCCCTCGTCAGCGAACTGGCGGGAGAGATATCATGGCCCGAGGAGGGTATGGAGTGAGATGAGTCCGATATACTCATTGCCGGAGTTTGGTTATCATTGTTCGGTGGAGCAGCAGGAACTCTTTGTGGGGTGGTATTATGTATGCGTTGCCCGAGATTTTCTGTCCGTGACTTTACCATGACGGGCATACGGATGTACCCACGTATGGCCCGGCGCCTTTCCGCGCTCATATGCCCCAATTCTGCTCGAGCTTGCTGTGCCACAGGAGCTTTTTTTACGGGAGTATCTCTCGAGGTTGAAGGCGTTGGCCAAGTTGCGTTGGATTTTTCCCACGAATTTTGGGTCGCTCGTCGTAATCCCGAAGGTGAAGAGTGCATTTGAGGCTTCGCCCTTACATCCTTGATGGTTTCGCCTGCTATTCGAGGCGGTACGCCTACTCGCTTCAGAGTAGCGCCTCTCGTTTCCTCCGTGGCTACCATAGTGCGTGTGATAGTGGGTGTGATAATGAACACATCGTCCCCGTGGTTCTTTGTCTGATCCTGAGTATTTGCCGCGTGGGCAGCATGGTGTGTGTTCTCTTTCCCCGAGACATGCGCAGGCATCTTTGCCTTGTCTTGTCGTTGACATGTAGTCTCTTGACACATCGTCTTCGGTGACTGCTTGGAGCATTGGACACGCTTCGAACTCTGAAAAGTTGGCTTCCGTTCTTCTTGAGCGACGGTCTTTTCCTCCGATACTGCTGCCATTGAGTGGGATGGCGTCATTATTTTCTTCCAATCTCTTGGTTTGGCCATTGGTGTCGACACATCCACCACTCGGGGGCGCTCGTTGGTTGACGAGAAAAAGAGAATCTCGTCGGGATTCTTGTCGCATGGGCCCTTGATTTCTCTGCACCCTAAAAAAGAGCCGTCCGGATTAGCATCGGACACCTTCTGCTTTAGCCTCGATGGTGCCTCTTCCCAGATAGTGCTGCAGCGCTGTTTCCCAATCTCATCAGGACAGTAATATCGATTATGACCAGACGGATACGTTGCCGGTTGCTCACCTGCCTCTACCGGACGACTTGAGCGTGAGTCCTGGCCATCGAGAGTACTAGGCTGCTTTCGTTCATAATCTGGCAGGTTCGCATTGCCCTCAGGTGTCGTGGTACGTGGACTTGGTAGAGTATCGGGGTCAAGCATCGTATCTCCCTCTTTGTGCACATTTTCAATGCTCTTCTGAAACTCCACAATCTGCTCCACACTCATTGTTGGCGGATTTGGGTCTTTGGCTGAGGGCATATTGACAACAAATCTATCTTCCCACTCCGTCATTGAGCTACTAGGGCCTGACACTGGCGATATGGAAGGGTATGAATGAATGGACGAGTCGGTAGTGTTATCTGTCTTCTCAGGGGACCTTTGAGGCGTCGTGTCCTGAGTCTCGTGGCCTGTCAGTTTGTCCTTGCTCGACTGAGATCTATCCTGATTCCCGGAATGCCCCTTGGGGTGGAACACAGGTCTACCTTGACTGCCGATGCTAGGACCCGCTATTTCGGTTCTGGGCTTAGCCCCTTGCTCAGAACCCCTTTGACCACGAGTAGTTGAAGTTGCAGTTTTCTGCTTGTGTTTGGCGATTTCATGTTTGGGTGAGCTAGCCAATGAGATAATCTTTCTATAGGCCTCCTGACAATAGTCCTTCTGTTTGTCTTTGCTCCGTGATGCTGTAGGTGACTCCCGATCGAACTTGCCTCGAACCTTCCGCCAGTATTGCTCGTGATCTTTGTCTGTCGATTTTGGTGAGTCACGATTTGACGCGTCAGGGGACCGTTTTATCTGACTGTGCGCAATTATATTCTGCTCCTTTTTCTGGGGTGTGACAGATGCCTCCCTCTTTTGCTCCTTATCCTTATCTGCAAACGCCCTAGGCTTGGGGAGCTTGGTGGCCATGCCCCTCGGTAAAAGAGTCTGGGGTATCTCGGGGGATCTAATTTTTGACCCTGTCGATTTTTGGTCAGCCCCCGTCGGGTGTGCTCCATTTTGCTCGTTCCCGGCTCCTTGATCACTGAATCTGGTACGTCGTCCGTTTCGAGCTCGCGGCTGGAGGTTGAGCAAATGTCCTTTCGGTAAAGGAATATGTCCTTCCATTTTGGATCGATGAGGTAGACTGGCAGCTTCGACTCTTAGGTCAGGTTCAGCCCTTCGACTTACCCATTCCTTAGAAGAGCGTGGTTTTTCCTGTGTATGGGAGGGCGTGGTGTGATTACTACGCCTCCTGAGGCGTTTGCCGTGCGAGAATGAAGCTGATGGCTCATTGAAACACGACAGAGCATTTGCGAAGAGAGTTCGAGAGAACATTTCCTCTGCAGGCTGATTCCGAGTTGCAAAGGGATGACGTGCGTAGTGATACGATTGGAATGCTAAGAAGCCCAGCTCACCACTTCAAGGAATGCAAACAAGTCGCTCGGCATGGAATGTGTGCCCCCGCTCTGACGCTATTTGGTATGGCAGTTGCCCACGCGCTTGGTCGGTTCCTTTCTAATTCGGTCACATTTGAGGAAGCAGCGACGCCCCTGTCCGTCTGGCATGTCCCAGGCGGGATCCCAAGTAACCGAGGAGGAATTTTAGAAAATAACGAAAAGACTGGAACATAATTTGGCTTCCTCATTTGCGGTTTGGCTCAAGTTTAATTTCCGAATCTCGCAGCAATGCGACATGGAACATATAATACAGTGGCTGGCCGTGTCTGTTATCAGCCTACATTCCCGAGTTGAAATAGATCGATACTGTGTGTGCCCCTTGAACGCAATAGGACTATCATTTTGAGCGGAAGAGAAGACTAAAGGACTCCCAAACTCCCTTCCCATATGCTTAGTTAAACATTGTCCACAAGACTATATGCGGGTGAACGGTATAAGAATTATGAGGAATGCGTGGTGCATCAGGCTACCATGAAGGTGTCCTGATTTCCACTAGAAACAACTCAATTTTATGAGTTGTCTAGAATCTTCCTGTCTGGCGACGCAAGTCAAGATGAGATCGTCTTGAGCCTGATGCAATGGGGCTCGCGTCACCAGGAACATTGCTCCTCTTCAGCGGACTAGACGGCTTCTTCATTGGACTTGCGCCTCGCTCTCTATAGAAGAAATCCCCAGTACTCTGGAGACGGCGGTCAAAGCTCGTGGAACTTGATTTCCTCAAAGGGGAATTAGCATGCGAGTAAATACCCAGACTACCACCATCTCCCGTGGCGGTAGGGGTTTGACGGAACTGCGGCTGCCGAATGGACGAGACAGGGCCTCGAACAATAGGAGAAGTGTCCCGCAAATGACTTGGTGTTTGCAGTGGGCCTTGGTATTGAGATGGGCCAGAAGGGGTTCCAGTTAGTGATTGACGTCCAGATGAAATACCATCCGGGTCAACATGTTTAAGGTAGTTGGGGTTCGGGCTAGTCTTGAAGCCCCGCTGGACAATGAAGGTAGGAGTATAAGTGTCCACTTTGTTAGACTTGGATTTAGAGCCGGATTGGGTGACATCTGCGTCGGAAAACTGAGTCCCGACATCTCTCATTAAAGGCTGAGTTCGAGGATGCACATATTTTGTGTCATACTCTTTCAACACTTCCTTATGTACCAGGGTAGAGTCCTTTGCCTGCTGCTTGAAGGAAGTTGATAGAAATGTCATCTGTACTGACAGAAGCGTTGTCAAGAAGATTGTCGTCACAATGGTAACGCTTGGTCGCGGATCTGATAATTGTGTAGGCAGGAAAAGCCAGTAAACTAAGACATGCCCAGGGCTAAACAGGCAGAACAATCGCAGGCAAATCGGTAGAGGGTCCCAGACTGCAAGCTCCCACACGTCAAGCTGCGCATCGGGGTGCGCTCTTGATCGTGCCGACCCGGAAACCACATTGGCCAGGTATCGCAGCGGTGAGGCCGGAGTTGAGTCAACCCGTACACGGTGAGCTGATGGTGTCGCAGGTGCGCGGTCAATTGATGCTTCAAACATGCGATAGTGTCGTTTGCGGTAAAATGTATAGAAACTATTGAGCCCGGTAAAACAAACGAGGAGATGAACGACGAACGAAGCCTGTGATGATGATGGTGTTCATTAGCGCCAAAGCATCCCAAGTCACACAACGAGCCTGGACGTCAAAGATATAGGCGTAAACAATTGATGGCGACAGGCAAACAACTTACAAACCAGCTGAGCCAAGGAGTGCCTCCATCTTCGCCAAAAACATCATCTATGGCTCTCCCGCCACTGGGTTGAGTGTTGGCTCTTGCGATTAGAAAGACCACATTCAAGACCACACCCAAAGGCAGCGCCCAGTCCTTCTCAAACTGATCCCAATCATTTGCATCTATCTCTTCCGACAGCCATAGGAGAAAGTCCAAGGGGTTTAGGTAGGATTTGATGCGCTCTGCCAATGGTTGGCGGCGTATGAGCCGGGGCATCGTGACGCCAGAAAAGCTACGATAGTAGCGCGAGCAACTGCAGATCAAAACAAGGATTAGCTTTCTAGGTGGCTCCAAAAGGTAGCTAGAAATCAGCAACTGGACTTACCTATGGCAAGACAAAGATGACAAGCTGAGGGCAAGTTTTCCGTCCCACTTGTGTAAACATACAACAACACAATGAGAAAAAGCGCATACAATATGTGCTTAGGTAAGCAGCGTCGGGGCCACTTATGACGACTGTCCGATCAACTTGCGGCAAGTCGAGACTCCACGGGGACAGTGTCACCCTTGTCCCAGATCCCACTTTCTTTCGAGCTGTTCCCTTCGCCGACTGCTCGTATCTATCACAATGGCGGCCCAAGCCAAGGTACACTTCTCACCTCCCTTCTTATCTGCATGAGTCCGACAGCTAACACAACACAGGACCGGCAGTTCCTTGCTGTCATCGGAGATGAAGAGTAATCTACAGCCTGTGGAGTTATCCTAGACCAAAGTTTTGCTAATTTCATATATCAGTTCGGTGACTGGACTTCTTCTCGCTGGTGTTGGTGTAAGCGATTTCAAGAACGCTATAGCAGCCGACATGTGAACTAATCGGCTTTCCAAAGCATGTCACAGATCCCCCCGACTCCCAAAGGAATTTCCTTGTGGTAGACTCCAAGACCGAAACCTCTACGATTGAGAAAGCGTTCCAAAACTTTACTCAGGAAAGAAAAGATATTGCTATCGTTCTCATCAATCAACATGTATGTCATTCAAGCTAAGTGCTTCCCCAGTCCAGAGAAAAAGGTTAGGCTCTTCATAGTGCGTTGTTGTGCTTACGGGAGAACAGGTTGCAGAGCGCATCCGCCACAGTGTCGATTCCTTCGCCGATCCATTTCCCGCCGTCCTAGAAATCCCAAGCAAGGATCACCCATATGACCCCGAGAAGGATAGCGTGCTTAAACGGGTGCGGCGTCTGTTTGGAGAGTAGATCTCGGGAGTACCCTGTTCTACTTTTATCTATCCTCGGCATGATATAAGTGTCGTATGTGGCTGTGGGAATGGAACTATGTGTGCAGAGGGATGATACCCAGTTTATTCGAGAGTTGTTCATATAGACTCGTATATGCCTACCATTGATAAGTCAGGGAATGGCGCCAATCCGACATCTATGCCAGGACGACTATCCTGCAGAAGGAATCGTCTTTCACATTTCGTAAATAGAATACGTGAGATTGTTTGTGCTTGGTAAACAGTGAGCTGGTAGACACAGTAATTTAAATTTCGCCAGACTCGCTCGGCGTCCTGCTTTCAACGCAAGGCTAGTCACTTCGACACCCATCCGAAGGAAATGAAGTGGTACGTACTCAATTGACAGTACAGTACATTGGACCGATCGAAATCTTCCGGTGAATTTGCGCCGACGGCCTATAAATATGTGACGTGCCTTAGATAGAAACAGGGGTATCTAGAGTGGGCCTAGTATGGAATTACACGCAAAGGAAACATTTCGCTGGGTAAGCTTCACAGCCAGAATTGCGCCCATTTTGTCCCTCTTAAGGTCGACGACGTAACTGTGGCGCAGATGCTGGAGGCCGGGTTTGAAAAAACCGAGAGGCTTCTTCTTGCTTAAAGATGACGGAATGAGGTTGTAGAAACGATACGAGCATGTCTCTCATGGGCCAGCCTTTCGCTGTTATTGAGAAATTCTAAGATCATGGACAGAATAACCATCTCATCCAATCCCACATCGAGAGAAGCTTGTGAAGGTGGGTCAATCTCCACGATAAGGCGTTTGGGCTCCATAACCTTAGTTACGGCTATCATGCTTCAGATCCATGAGGTTTCAGTTCTTGTCATAGTGAGTATCAAGACACACTTCAGAGATCCATGTTCTGGTTAGAAAGGTCAGTTAGCACAATGCTTTGAACGTTGAATAATAAACGCCAATGCATGGCAGTTTCACCAATCACGCGGCTGTGCCTCTCTGGTATCAATCACGTGGGCCCAGCCATTCGTCATGGGGGTCCCATGACACCGCTCCTCCTTCCACTCTTACCTGGCGAGAGGTACGACTTACTACTACTAGTAGTACTTGCACCTTCTACCATCGTCATCACAAGTCTTTATAGTGCTCATATCATTTGTATTCAATATTACATCTCCTCCTGATCCGATCCCACGAAGTTTTACAAACCCTCGCAATCATGAAGTTCTTATCAACTGCCGCTGCGCTTCTCGTCTGCCTCGCTCCCATTTCCACCTCAGCTCGAAGCCTCGACTTCCTCAAGTCATCCCAATCCCCTATCCAAGCACAAGGCAAATCAGTCGCAGGAGATAACCCTCTGGAATACTGTAACGACCCGTCGGGCGACGTCCTAAATATCAAACAGGTGGACTTGGCACCTAACCCACCTCTCCCGTATGTCAGCGAAAAGCATACACAGGCATCCTTTGGTATAATATTGAACATCATGACTGATTGAATACAGTGGCAAAACACTTGTCATCACGGCTTCGGGCACCCTGCGTGAAAAGATTGAGGAAGGTGCTTACGTACTTTTGGAGGTCAAATATGGCTTGATCACTCTTCTCAGGCAGACCGCCGATCTCTGCGAACAGCTCGTCAACGTAGACCTTCAATGTCCCCTGGGGCCAGGTGACATGACCTTGACCAAGCAGGTCGAATTGCCGAAACAGATTCCTCCGGTAAGTCTTATCGTCCCATGCTTAGATAGGGTCTGGTTTGCCAGGGAGTACACTCGACCTTGGCCAGGATAGATTGCTAACAGATGGCTTGTTGGGTAGGGAAAATACAATGTTCAAGCCGATGTCTTCACTAAGGATGATGAGCGCATCACTTGCCTGAAGGCCGTTAACGTTGAATTCAAGGGTCCCTTCTAAGAGGTCAGCAATATGTTCAGCCTGCACTTAGAGATCGGCATGCTCAATCTAGGTTGAGCATGACGTACGCTTAATTACGAACCTCAACATGTACCCTGTTGTTTCCCCCTTTCTTTCCAATCGCATGATTCATGATTCTTTCGACTTCATTCGCTATATCTTGTACGGCGTTTCGGAGTATCCGCTCGATACTACCGCTTTCTTTGTCAAGTCGGGTCTATTTATATATGCCGTGTTGGCATCGCTTAAATGCATCTGTATCATCAACCCAAGTAGAGCTCTAATGTTCTTACTCATGGTTCATTTGAATCAACCATTATAAAGACCGTGCACGAAGCCGTTCTAGAATATCCTGTCAGTCATATCTCCACTAATCTTTGCAAAATAAATATTAAATTATTTTGTCCATGGTAAAAGGCTATATCAGGTTGGTCGGCTAATACACCTATAAACTTGCTAGTACCTATAGCACCGCAAAGAGATCCGCCTTTCTATACGCTGATTCATGGGTTGGTCCTAGATACCCAGAAACATAACCTGGATCCAGTAACGAGACACATGGACGTGTGTATCCTTTAACGCGAGATAACAGCATGAACTCCATATTATGCTCGGAATATTCTAGGTATAACATATTTACATATCATGACTGCACAGCCTTCAGTCTAAGATTTAATATCAAACTTCAGGCCTCGGAGACGAAAATACCAGCCATACCCATACCCTGGAAGAGAGAAAATTAGTACAAGGCTAACTTCGGGCATCTTAAGCAAGCATTTCTCAGACAGGAATTACTCACAGTTCCGACACACATGGATGTGACTGCCACTTTCTTGTTCTGTCGGCGTAATTCGGAGAGAGCAGTAACAACCTGTCGCGCTCCTGTGCATCCCAATGGGTGGCCGAAAGCACTATATCGGTTAGTAACAGCGTTCAAGGTGTTTGCAGGAGGCTGGCTTAGCTTACATTGCACCACCCCGAGGGTTCACCTTGGATTCGTCAAGACCAAGTTTTTGAACACAATAAGTACCCTAAAAAAGTTAACAGCCATTTGGGGAAACGAGGAAGACAGGGAGGTTGTGTTTATTTACCATGGATGCAAATGCCTCGTTGATCTCAAAAATATCAATGTCATCCTTAGTCAAGCCGAGCTTGGAGAGGATCTTAGGAATGGCGATAGACGGGCCAATTCCCATGATTCGGGGCTCTAAGCCGGCAACAGTGGCTCCGCCGAACTTAGCCAGAATTGGCTGGCCCAGTTCTTGTGCACGAGATCGTTTCATGAGGACGACTGCTGCGGCACCATCGGTAATTTGGCTAGCATTACCACCTGTTGTAGCACTGGGCTTCCACTGGGGGAAAGCTGAGCGGATCTTGCCGAGTGATTCGGCAGTTGTGCCATAACGAATACCATCGTCACGATCGACCACGACGTCCTTCACCTCTCCAGTCTTAGGATCCTTAACCTTGGTATGAACGGGAACAATCTCGTCATTGAACCAGCCAGCTTTCTGGGCATGCTCTGCTTTCTGGTAGCTCTTGGCAGCGAACTGGTCGTGCATTTCACGAGTAATTCCGAATTGAGATGCGACATTTTCGGAGGTCTGGCCCATGGGCTGCTTGTTCTGGGAGGCAATTGGATGTGATGTGATCTTGTCGGATAGCTCTGGGGCACCGTCGTCGGGGTTGGTGCTCATGCTCTCTGCTCCAACTGCAATACCAACATCGATTGAACCGGCAATGATCTGGTTGGCAATGTTCTGGATCGCCAGCAATCCAGAAGAACAGAATCGGTTGGCAACCGATGCTGCGGCAGTAACGGGGAAACCAGCTGCCAGAACAGCAGAACGGGCGATGTAAGCTTGGCCAGGGGCAAGGACGTTTCCGACACAGACATCTTCGACAAGGTTAGGATCGAGTTTGGACCGCTCGCGCACATTCTATTTGTTATGTTAGACACGGAGAAGCTCGACATGGACAAACAAGCACTCTACCGTCAGCAGTGAGATGAGAAGCTCATCTAAAGTGGTATCCTTCAAGCCACCCTTCCTAGCTTTTGTAAGGGGAGTCCGCAGGGCGAGTGTAATCACCTATACCACACATAGTCAGTCTTTGATCCTACCCCAAGCAAGTAGTATTGTATTTCTGAGCATGAGAGACATACCACATCGTCAGGATTCTTCGCGAGGAGCTTTGACTTTCCGGACGCAGCACCAGGGCTCGTAAGCTGGTTTGCGATAGAAGATAGTCGTTGTTGAGGCGAAGACATGTTGAAAACTTATTGATCACGGTAGTATTTCCACAGGTGTCTTTCCAAGATACTTCTTTTTGGAGAAGACAGAAGTCACTAACTCCCCCGCAATGATGCACACGTCGCAATATTATAATAACCTGGGGCGAGAATCAGAAGCATAATCAGCCGCGGTTCCTAATCTAAAGGACAAAAGCGCCGTCGGAGAATGGATCAAAATACCGAGCCGAAGGTTGGGAACACAGCCAATGGATAAGGTTTCGTTGGAAGATTAGGCTCATAGATGCCGTTTCTCGGTGCTGGAAGTTGTCCAGACCTGCCGAGTGGCCTTGCCGTAAAGCTGTAACGAAGGCGTATGATACGGTACCGCTGAGTGGCCTCGGCTGTCGGCCGGATCCATCGACAAGGCCATGGTTGGGCTTTACAAACTTTGTGGGGAAGTAACTCTAGTCTCTCGTACGTCTTTGGTGGAGAAGTGGTATGGGGAAATCAATTGGAACTGGATAAATATTGCATTCTATGTAGTAATTCACAGTCTTGCTAGATCGGGTGGTACTTGGGAATACTACTACCTTGTATGTACTACTAGTAGTAGCATCATGGATGATGAGTACAGTGTCATTAGATTGAAGCCTGAGGCATGTCTTATTTGTCCATCCCATCCCAAGGTTGACAGTATGGGATGTGTGTCACTTCCGAGTCCCCGCTGAATGTCAAAAACAAGGTACTTCTAAGGAGAACAAATGTGAATGCTATCTGTGGAGGCCGGGGGACAGAGCCGCTCTACCCAATGGTGGTCTTGAAAACCCTTAGCTTCAATCGATCTATCGGGTGGCAGCATTTCCTTGATTGCCGTCTGGAGCCCCCCAGACCCCAGACATTCGATCTGCGCCATCGCCGGCACTTTCAGGTCCCGTTTCTAAATTCCGATCGGTCCAAGGTGCACAGCTATTATTCACTATATTCGTGCTCTCCAGTCCCAGTCGCCATAACTGACCTGACAATTTCCATGGAGCGGTGATCAGTGCGAAGCTCTTTTCCTTTGTTCGAGTACTTTTGTGGCTGTTTTGAACCAGCCAACGCAACCAATACAAATCCAACAAGAGGTTTCAGAAATATACCTACAGCTTACATTTATCAGACCCCTGCGGCCTAATGGACCTCTTCTCAGAGATTAGCGCGCCAACAATGGCGATGGCTTCAGCTCTCTCAGTTGGTGCGGCGGCCTACCTCAATGCCAAACTTGCCATTTCTACCGACATATCAACGATATACAATGATCGGGCTTTCACGAAGCGCCTCGGCCAGCGAATTGTGGAGCTGGGTGACACAACCACGATCTATAAGATGCTCGAAAGAGTCATCGAAGTCGATGGTCATGGCTCGAGGGAAGCACTCTGGTTTGAGAACAAGACATGGACATATAGCCAATTGAAGGATCGTATGTACACTCATTATCTTATCACCAATGCTTGGATATAGCTCTTGCAGTCAAACTTACATTCGCATAGTTGTGGATCGATTTGCTACAGTTCTCCATGGACAGAACATTAATCCAGGAGATTTCGTTGGTGTTTTCACCACCAATTCCATTGAAATGGTCGTGACGATGTATGCACTTTCGAAGCTGGGCTGTGTCTCTGCACTCATAAATACAAACCTGAGAGGTACTGCCCAGAACTATACCTATGCAACACAGATGGAAACTAACTCAGGCGAGCATAGATGACACATTCGTTCACTGCCTCAATGTCTCTGGCGCCAAGTTGATCATCTCAACTCCTGATTTATCACAGTTTGTCTGTTCTGATTTGCCTCACATTGCGCTGAATATATCATCCTTCGACGGCGAATCTGCGGGAACCACAGAACTTATCACAGCCGCGCAATTGCAACAGCTCATCCCCCTTGGCTTGATTCCTGCTAAGAGGTCGCCCAGCGACTTATGCGCTCTGATCTACACGTCTGGAACTACGGGGAAACCCAAAGCATGTGCAATTCGAAACATGATGACGCTCGTAACGTCGAATCCACTTACGACTGACGTGAACAATCAATCGAAGTACTTCCCTCTGCGCACATATTCTCCCCTCCCTCTTTTCCACGGCACTGCCTTCTTCACGGGGTTGTGTTACTCTCTTGGGAACGCGGGCACCTTATGTTTGCGTCGCAAATTCTCAGCTTCGCAGTTCTGGAAGGATGTCCATGATTCAAGAGCCACGCGTATCTTGTATATTGGCGAGTTGTGCAGGTACCTTCTGTCAACGCCTCCTTCGCCCTATGACCAGAATCATTCTTGCATTGTGGCTACTGGTAACGGACTCCGTGGGGAAATCTGGGAGCGCTTCCGTCAAAGGTTTGCGGTCCCTGAGATCCGCGAGTTCTACCGGTCAACCGAGGGTGTGGCCAAATTCGATAACCATGGTGTCGGAGCATGGGGTGCAGGAAAGATTGGGTTTTCGGGCCCCATCAGGCGGTTCTTTGAAGACGATGTGTTCATCGTGAAATATGATACCGAGACAGAGATGCCATACCGGGACCCAAAGACAGGCTTCTGTATTAGAGCGAAGCTTGGTGAGGAAGGAGAGGCGATTGGGCGAGTCAGAAGTCGTGGGCTACTCACTGAATATCTCCATAACGAAGATGCTACCGAAAAGAAGCTTCTTCGGGACGTGTTCCAGAAAGGCGATCTTTTCCAACGTACCGGCGACCTTGTGGTCCAAGACAGAGACGGCTGGGTTAAGTTCCAAGACCGTGTTGGAGACACCTTCCGCTGGAAAGGCGAGAATGTCAGTGCAGGAGAAGTCCGCGACCACATCTGCCGGATTCCTTCTGTTCATGATGCCGTTGTTTACGGCGTAAAGCTGTCGGAGTATGTGTGATACGTGTTGCTTGTCATTTCCAGCCATATACTAATGCATTGCTCTTAGGTATGACGGACAAGCCGGCGCTGCGGGAATCACTCTTGAGGATCCTTCTGCAGCAGTGGAGTCTGAATTCATGAACAACTTGTACCGTGAGCTGAAGAAGAAGGGTGTGCCATCGTACGCTCTGCCGCGGCTTGTCCGACTCACTGAGAAGTAAGACTCAAACAACCTATTTTTCTGATGATAGTGTATGCGCTAACATGCACTTATTTCATAGGGTTGCTACTGGCGTTACTTTCAAGCAAGCTAAGGGCGACTTGGCCAAGAAGGGATGGGATCCGCGAGGGGATTGGAAAGGTGATAAGTTGTATTGGCTGAACGGGAAGATATACGAGAAGCTTGACGAGCGAAGCTGGTCTTCGATCGAGAGTGGACAGGCGAAGCTGTGATGGGGAGACATGTATCAAGATTAGACCATCTCGTTAGTGTATATATAATGCCAAGACACTAGAGCATAAAGTTCAAGATTTATTGTTTGTTCGGCAGTTGTCCATCTCAAACAAAAGATTGCATTCTCCACAGAATTTCAGTACCCGAGATTACTCGGTGGTATAATTTAATACTCTTAGCATATTAGTATACTAATTTTGACCTACTTTTTGATATTCTATTTTATTAATGTATTTGTTTCTCTTTGACAAGAACGGCATGCCGCAATCAAACTTCCGTCCGCAATCTCTCCCGAATTGAGCTAGGGCCCAAAGATCGGCATGAAGCTAAGCCACTGGTGAACCAATGTATGAACACGGCTTTCCCTGCTCTACCTGCTATTCGTTCGATACCTCTTAGTCGTATATGCTCGTATATCTTGTATCATAGTCGATCGAATCGCAACGGGCGGGGTTAAAATCTCTTGCATTTAGTATATAAAGGTCGCCCCAGTCTGTTTTAAAAAAAAAAAAAATGCAAAGCAAAATTTCAACCCTCATCGCAGTTGCACCATGGCAGATTCCAGTGCACCTCCAGAGGAATCTCATACCCAACAGTCTCGCATAGACGATGGGAAAGCCTCAGAGCAGGTTTTTCAGGAATCAGCCCCGGATAAGGATCTGGAACAGCCAACGGCACCTGACCAGTTTGATGCGCGATACTGTACCACCAAATGGGAAATATGGGCATACTATGCGTGCGTTGATTAACATATTGTGGAAAAGAAAATATTACTAAATGAGACACATCAACTCAGTTATTACATTGGAAACAATGGATTATCTCTGTTCAGTAGGCCACCCCCTCTGATCCATTCGCGTCAAATATAAAGCAGACGCAATTTAACAATTGACCATTTACAGACTTCGGCCCAACTGCCTTCCAGAACCTACTCAGCCAAGCCGCAGGCGATAGCGGAACCGTCTATTTCGCAGGACGAGAACGCTCCATCAATAGCATTGTACTTCTCAGCAATGGAATTTCGTTCGCCATCCAAGTAGTTATCTTCCTAGTCATCGGCAGTTTCGCCGACTTCGGCACATGGCGACCCAATATCCTGATCACTCTTTCAATAATCGCATATGCAATCGGGTTCGGCTGGCTCGGCGTCCATACGGCAGACAAATGGCACGTTGGCGTCGGACTGTACATCGTCGGCTTGATCGCCTATCAAACGACGCTGACCTTCTGGACGGCAGCATTCCCGGGTTTGGCGCGCAATACGCCCGAAATGAAAGCAAAAGCCGATGCCTACACCGCGGGAACTATATCGCGCGATGAATACGACCATGCCGACACGATAGAGCGGAGTAGGTTGGCGAACATCGCCTTTTATGTCCAGTCCTGTGCAGAGGTGGTCATCCTTGCCATCATCGTGGGTATCATGTTTGGAGTGCATGTCAATGCAAGTGAGGAAAATAACAATTGGGGCTTGAGTGTTCTGATTGCTTTTGCGAGCGGTGTGTGGCTGCTAGTTTCGTTGCCTTGGTTCTTTCTTGAGAAGCGTCGGCCAGGACAGGACCCGAAGGGGAGAAACATCTTCATTGCGGGTCTGTGGCAGCTTTATTATGCTGCGAAGCAGGTGTGGAGATTGAAGCAGAGCTTGCTTTATCTTGTTGGTAAGATTCCATCTTGGTCTATTCCCAATGCTTTGGGTTGTCTATGGAATTGCTAATGGAAAATTGTAGGATATTTCCTCTTGGGCGACTCGTTAAACACAACTGTGACTGTGATATCAACATTGCAGAACAGTGTGGTCTCTTACAACACTCTAGAGTTGACATACCTTCTGATTGCTGGAATCGCAGCTCAGGTTCGTGCATTATCTTATCTCTTCTTGTACATATTTAACCCATCAACAACAGGCAGTGGGGATCTATGGTTTCTGGTTCATTCAGCAACGCTTTAAACTCGGCACCAAAACTATGTTTAACACCATTGCCGTCGCAATTATCTTCCTCGATGGCTGGGGTATGATAGGCATCTGGACACAGAAATTTGGTTTCCATCATGGCTGGGAATTCTGGGTACGTCAGATCCTTATTCACCATTTGGGGAGTGTCGTCAAACACTAACTGTGCGAACAATAGCTCTACCAAGTGTATTACGGCCTGTTCGTCTGCCCGTGGTATAGTTACTCCCAAATCATGATCTCCGAAGTCGCACCCCGAGGCCACGACTTCCTTTTCTTCAGTTTATTCAGTATCGTTGGCAAGACCTCGTCGTTCATTGGGCCTCTTGTCTCAAGTGCTATTATCGATGCAACGCCGTCTGGAAACGCCTCGATGCCTTTCTACTTCCTGTTCGGGCTGAGCGTGGCCAGTTTTGCTGTTTTGGCGATTTGGTTGGATCTGAAGAAGAGTCGACGAGAGCAGGAGGTGTTTCTGCAGGGTAAAGATAGCGATGGGTCGGAAGATATGTGAGGTTTATATTCTGAGGATCTGCTGTGGCGGGGAGACTGTGAGGCTTGAAGTATGTACACAGCATATATTCATAGGAGTATACAAGATGTCTTCTGAATCAATGTACATTATCCCCCATCGTTCACAGTTAGCATGGTATATACTCTAGTTTGAGGTTGTGTATCTTGAATGGGGTAGGGTTTTTTGTGAGCTTTTACGCATTTTATTACAATATGAGCCCTCTGGAGTGCGAAAATAAGTGCAAAAAGTTCTACATCATGTTATAGCATACCCCCTTCAGTAGTTTATAGTAGCTTTTCCCCCTGTTTCTCCATACATACTTCGGGTAAGCGCCGGATTAATCAGAATGACTCATTATGACTTTGCCCACAAGTCGAGTCGGTGGGGATCTATATTCGAAATACATTGGTTGAGACTTTCGGACGAAGCTTCTAAGGAGTTTCATATTGTTTAATTCTTACACTTTCATTTTAAATCCTTGTTTTTGGCTAATGTGTAATATACAGTTCACTGCGTGTATCATTCCGTCTGAGCGTTGAATAAGGGTTCAATCGCGGATTGGCTATCATTTTATGCACAGCAACACCTTAGATCATCATTCGCATTTCCGTCTTTTAATTCTGAGTCGTAGCAAGTACATAAATACAGTGACTATTGGTCAACAATAAATATTGATCAACCCGCCGAGTCATACATCCTGCTCACCAACTCAGACGAAAACCAACCGGCACATCCAGACACAACACTGGTCGTAAAGCATACCCTCCTGTCTTGCACATACTTAGCTATACTAAGTTTCCTATTAGACGGTAAATGACACCCTCCAATAGGGGGCGAAGTGACCCACAAAGCCCCAGAGGGTCTCCCAGTGGTACCACCAGTATATAAAACGCACGTTTGAGTCGCCAGGCCACTAGTTTTCTTCCTCACATCAACAGATGAGCTGCTAAGCCGGCAGCCACTAGCACGCACCATCCAAACCGAGCCGCAAGCATCAGCCTCTCCCTGTAGAGGAGAGGCCCTAAACCTTGAGCTCGTGGCCGCACAACAACCACCCAAGTCCCTCATGGCCATTTCGCACACCGTGGTTTTCGCCCGACCACAGCAACAGAAGGAACCTGTCCCTCCCTGGTGAGCCCTCGTGGGAGTCAGTGCCCGACTTCATAGCTTCGGGACTTAACTGGAACAATGGCATGTTGGAGACCCAGTCTGGGCAGCAACCGGACGCTGCTCATATCCGAGCTGATCCCCTGCTTCCCTCGGACCCGCCAGTTTCTACTTCTCTGACGGCATCGTTCGGCCCAATCGAAGATACTGCCCTCTCGAGACTGTTCAGTCCATTAAATGCATCGTCTACGGGGGCCGGATTCAATGGTATGTCATTTATTGGTTGTTTTCCCCACCAATGTGGTTGAAACTATGACTGACCGGGTACCAGATTATCATGAAACTCATGGTGATAACCACGTCTCCCACCAGGATAGTGTATCTCGGCAACAGAACCCCGGCCTAATCAGTAACGAAACTCCACCGTCGAACACTACCGTGGCAGAGGCACTACCTGGTCAAGAATACCCATTACCCCCTGAAGTATCCAACGTCGGTCGTTCTAAGCGCAAAGCTGGCACCCTGGAAGAGGACTCTAGCGATGAGAAGGCCACGACGGCCATCAAACGCCAGCGCAACACCATGGCGGCGCGGAGGTACCGTCAGAAGGGACGTGATCGCATTGCTGAGCTGGAGTGTGCTTTGAGAGATGTGGAGCAGGAGCGAGACGAGCTCAGGCTCCAGCTGGCGAGGAGAGAGGCTGAAGTGGCTGCTTTGAAGGAGATGTTGAGGGGGTAGATGGAGGTTCTTGGGGAATGCCGATTTATGGATTTGTTGTAGATGTTTTATTTTTTTTTTCTGTTGAAATTGAGTGGCATGTTTTCTTGGTTGGAGGCTTTGTCCATATATAGGTTATATTAGTTTTTACTGTAAATGTAACGATATATGTTTTTGGGTTGATATGGTTAATCTAGATGGCTCAATACATATCGTACATGGAGTAGGTTATAACAATGGCGAAATTGGGTTAAATCACTGTTAGTTTATGTTGTAGGATATACTTCAGTAATGAGATTATACTGGAGTATCTTCGTCTGGAGCTACTCTCGCGGCTACAAGTTATAAATGCTAAAACCAAACTAGAGAAAGAAGCAAAAGGATATATATATTTTTTCGGTCCAAACTTTTGGAAGAGTGAAAAAAACTCCAGCCCATGCTATGCCTAAGCGCCGTATCTCGGGAAAGTGAACGTGAAGGATCAATATCTGACGGAGAACATAAAAGAAAAGAGTAGCATAAGGAGAACAAAAATATCAGTAACAAGCTTAAGAGTCTCCATCCGACGAGGCGCTCTCCTTCGACTTGCTCTTCTTCTTCTTCTTCTTCTCCTTCTTTTCGGAACCCTCGGCGTCTGCCTCTGCTTCCGAGTCGCGCTTCCGCTTCTTCTTCTCTTTCTTCTCTTTCTTTTCCTTCTTGGCACTCTCCAGCTCCTCGGGCGGCACGAAGGCCTTGGCCCGCTCTTGCATCTTCTCTTCGCGCTTCAGGCGTTGCTTCTCCATAAGCTCCTCCTTCTGTGCACGGTCCTTGGCCTCCTTGGACAAGAAGTACTCGCCCGACTCGATCTGCAAGTCCACCTTGCTCTTCTCCGGGGCCGGTGGGAAAGGAGTATACACCTTCTTGGACTTGTCGGTGACCTTGAACGGCATGCGACGCTTCGAGAGGGTGCGCTTCTTGAAGTTTGGCAGGAATCGGTCCCAGGATTCTTGGGCCAACGTGGGGTCCTTGGCCAATTCACGTTTGATCATGAGCTCCTTAATGTGGTAGATGGGATGGATGTTGGCCATGCAGTCGTTTACCACCCTGCGCACTTCTTTCAGACCCTTGTAAGGACCCATTGCGGAGACGGTGTTTCCTTGCACCAGGATATATGTCTCGGTTAGGAGCTCGAGAGCTTTGAGAGTCGAACCGTTTGGTCCTAGGATACGTTGGCGACGCTTTACGAAACGTTCTTTATTGCGGACTTGGCTTCGGATTTTGATGATATCGCATGCGACGCCATCCTCGAGGATTTTCAGAGCCTATCATCAATCAAAACGATTAGCGGATGGGTCCCGACAGTATTGCGAAACAGTGGACAAGATCAACCTACCTGTTGCACAGGCACACTTCTGGCAAGCAGCTTGATGAGATCACGGGCCTTGAGAATTGCGGCGGGGTCAAAAGTCTTCCGGGTGGTCTTCACAGTCATGCTACCCTCCACCAAATCCAGAGTACAAGCGATTCCCTGCTTTTCCAGAGCCCTTGTCACGACGGGCCATGCTTCCTTCAGGTAAACTTCACGATATTTGGGGAAGAGCGTCGCGAAAGAGGATTCCTCGGCGAAACTACCGGCGACATTATCATCGGCTTTGAAGGGCTCGATCTAGTCGCAGATGGTAGGTTAGGAGACGAGCGCATATCGCCTGGGGAGATATAAGAAGAACAAACCTTCCACTTATCGATGTCATCCGTATCCCACGGCTTATCCTTCTTGTATGTGGACGGCATTTTGGAAGATTCGGTTGCGCAGCCTTTCTGGCAGGTGGTACAGGATTATTCTTCGACGGAACTGAACTGGCGGCCAACTTTTTTCTGATCCGCGCGGAGGCTTACCACTTTGGGCATTTAGCGCGCAGAGCGCTTGGGACGGAACCCAGACAGGGAAATATGCGCTGTAGACGCACAAGCGCCCGATTGAACGGTTCGGGCGTCTACGCGGATGAGCCTCAAAGGTGCTTCTCCAGCAATTGGGCGTCTGGTTGGTCAATCCTCGGTTTATCGGCGGGTCCCATTCCACAATCTGTGATAAGTTAAACCACGCAGAAGAAACGAAGCTACAGATTGCCACATGGCAGTGTTGAGTGGCCTTCCGAGTGCAGACGTGGTTGACCCAGCTACATTACGAGTCGTAGCTGAATTCGATAGATCAAATACAGCTGTGAGCATGGCAGATCCAACTAAGCCCCTTTTTAGCATTCCATGTCCGTGGCGTTGGGTCTCCTTGGTGGGAAACCGGGGCACGGGACAAGAAACATCAGTTTGGCCTTGGAAGAGCAAGACCATCCAGTGTCTTCTAGACACAAATTGAAGCCACTGTTGAGTTCTGGTGCTTAGATTACACTACAGCAATGGCCCTCTGCCATTTAATCTCGGAGAAAAAGAAAGGCAAGGTGTACTGGGAAATTACAAGAGGCCCGCAGCTCCCTTTGCCCCACACAGTCTATCGTAGGAAACTTTCCCTTCAGGACGAAGGCACCAACCAGAGTCCAGAAAGGGCCGTTTGGAATATGGAAATTTGCCTGTAGCATCGCCTTTAATTGTTCTCTCTGGCCCAATCCATGGTTTGACCACTCGCCTTTTTGTGGTGTAATTAGAGTTTCAAGAGGTGGCCACTATTGATAAGTCGTAACGGCGAATCTGGAAGGCAGAGATTGGCAACGCTAATCCTAACCAGCGATCCGCTAGAGGGTTCTGGATGGGTGCATGCCAATCCTCGGTGTAGTATTTCACGGGCAATCAAGGCAGGAGTAATTGGACATTGTATCGACAGGATTACGGAGGTAGAGGGAGGAGAGGGAGCTTCCATCAGGGACGATGTTGGCAGGTAATTTTTTTTGTTGCTGCTTACGGAGTAAGGTTCAGAGACGACCCGTCAGTTTGGTACCCTACCCGAGACGGGGCCCGTTTCCCAGTCCTTCTTGTCCCCTACACCGTCTTCCTTTTCTCTTTCCCTCTCTCTCTCCCTTCCTCGGTGACAATACCTTCAGGTTCGAATTGGTGGACCACTCCCTCGGGGTTTCCACTGAACCTTGGCTGTGTCGGACAAGCTATCATATTCGCGGTATGCCCGCTAGCCCTTGAGATGATGATTCTAGGTGCACGGGCGTTGTTTGATTCCCTCTTCCCACTCACTTGAGTTGTCTTCTGGCTTTTGGACCGACAGTCCCCATCCATCTAGCACTCACTGTTGATTCTAGAAAGCCACAGATCCCCAGTGGTGCCTTCCGGACCGATATGTGATCAAGACAACGACGACAGTTCCGTTGCTTCCTAGAAACGAAGATGACCGCTCACGCAGAGTCAGCTGGCTGAGGAACGAAGGGCTCATTCCATCAACACAGTCCTCTTTCCTGGGCTAAAACGAAGCTGCATTTCCGGCATACGCCCAGGACTCTGCCTAGTCTCTTTAAACAGGCCTCTTGAGGGCCCAGTCCTCGTGCTGCAAGTCAGCGAGGTTCCGGTTTCATTGTCCATTTCAGAGTGACCCGTCTCCGAATTCGAGCCCGCTGCTATCTTGATTCCCTGTAGAGTGCCGTCATATGCGAGAGGCAGCCTTCCGTTGGACGTTTGGTGCAAGGAGTTACCTGCTAGTTTGGATAACTACACTGTCGCTTGTGGACGGTTCAGCCATGCGGAGTGGTGATAGTACTTAGGACCGCCAGGGGCATGACTCCTAGAGGTGACAGAAGATACTGAGACGCAATTCTGGTGGAAACTGACCAATATTTAACTGTTTTCAAGCTCTATCTGTCCAATGCCAAAATATCTAATCTGTTGAAGGAACATTATGGTTCCCTTGGGCAGTCAAGCCAGAAACGTCTTCGATAGAGATACAACACCTCTCTACAAACCGTGAGAAGAGGATTGCGGATTGAATATCACACCCGTCCCTTCGGCAATATTTACTGGGGTTTTCTTCCAATGCAAACATACCTGGTGTTGTTAGAACACCGTCACGGACTGCCTGAAGAACGGACTTACAGGGGAAAGTAGGCCTTCAGATTGTGGGTATCGGCTTCCTGCTGTGCTCGCGCTATCAGCTCCGCGAACTGCTGTGGGGGCATCCGCAGTCGTTGGGTAAATGGATAAAGCCCCAACGCGGGAAGCAGTTTTTTAACATTGTCACGGTTTTTGGCGCCTATATCTCGCATCCTGGGGTCTATACAGTGTTAAAAGATACCTTTCACTCGTATAACGTGTGTGCACTTTACCATTTGACCATGCAGATAGAGGAAGCGGGATCATTCGAGCATCGACCTCCGTCAGGCCTGCTGCTGTCAGAAGATTTCTCAACCTTGTCCCCACGCGAAGGTCCTTCACTTCCTCCAAAGAGCCCATTAATTGCGTGCTCCATTGCCTCAATGCATGCTGCTCGGTGATTGAGCCGTTATCTGACTGGACATTGAAGTATATCTCGACTAATTGCACCCAGCCCCCTGGCTTTAAAACTCTGTGACAACGAAAGGTTAGTCTGAGGTGTCGGCGATACCTTATGTTGGACCGGAGAGCCGGTCTTCAGGAACCAGACCTTTGAATGTCTCGGATATAGGAGGGCCAGCGGTCTCGGTTGATGCCGGTTGCGAGCAGCCTTGAATGGACAAGGTCGAAGTAATTCGGGGGGAATGTGAATGGACGGTTCAGATCATCGACCTATATGGCGACATAGATACGTTAGTGACACATTTCTCAGAATTCACAGGCTCCCATTCTGGACTTATCTCTGCTAGAATCGGCAAATGGGGTTGCAGGAGACATTTCGTCGAGCAGCGAGAATGTGGAAAAGGGGCACAGTTTTAGGGACTCTTGCATAGCGAGGCTCCCGCAGTCGAGAGATGATCAACTCACTTGTAGGCATAAATTCTCCGGTATATCGTCTGGGTTCATATAGGGGTATATATCGAGGCCGATTACCTTCAGTTGAGGTAATTAGCTGGTTGGTACCTGGGGAGAAGAACCCACCTGGACTACGTACCTTACATCTAGGGTGCTGCTCTGCAGTCTCAATAGCCCACGATCCAGTGCCATAACCACAGTCGAGGATCTTTTGAGGCTGTGGGATCGGCGGGAATATTAGCCTGTTGTCGAAAACCTTGTTGAAAACCTGGTGCTGGAGCTCGAGTCGTTCTGCCTCTTCCTGGCGGTGGATCTGCGGTCAGCTCTGTCCCGAGAGTCCCAGACTTTTTTTTTTTTTTTTTTTTTTTTGATCTTACTCCGTCTACCGGCTCAAAAAATATCTGGTGGTCGATCGAGAACTTTTGGAACACGCGACTTTGGATGGTGACGGTCTCAAGGTACACGGCGTCCAAGGCTTCCGTTTCCGAGTCAGGGCTCCTTAACGACCCAGAAAGTCAGTGCTCATGGTCTGTCCACGATCTAGCGGCGGGTTTAGGTACGTCATGGTTGACCCTTCTCTGGAATGCTCACGAGGGGCTGGGGTTGAACGAGTTACGAATTGAATCAAGGGCAGCAAGGAAATCCCATCTCTCAGGGAGTCTCTATCGTGGGGAGTGGGTGGCAGGCTATGTTGTGGTTAAGAGATCTCTTTGTTGAAGCGATCGACGGGGCACGAAGAATCTTCGACGAGAAAAGTACCGCTGCACACGAACCAAAAATGACTATATTGCACTCCATGGACTATTGGTGAAGCAGTCTGTACTATGCGGGACTGAGTCTTCGTACTAAAATGTACGGCCGGTAAAGGAAAATCCGTCCAGGCCAGTCCCAGACGTCTGTCTTGCCTTTTGCAAGAACCCAGCAAATCATGGTCCTTAAACCCCCCTTCAAAGAGGCAAAATTCAGTCAATGGCAGGCCACCCTTTCGAACTACTACATTTCCCTCCGTGACAGCAGGTTAAACATCGCCCGCCCTTGTCTTTAAAATGAAATACGACTACCTCGGGGGTATTCGCCCAGGATTACATCCCACCAGTCTGCAGCGAAGGGAGGGGTCGGCGGTGCTTCCGGAGGGGCCACCGATGCCGACGGCGTTCGATGCCTAGGAGGGCTAATTCACTAACCCTTGGGACTTCACCCTTCACCCACCCTATCAGTCTATTTGAGAGCGGGTTAGACATCGTCGCACGGGGTTTCAGTTTCTCCTCGACTCCCTGATTTGGTAGGAACGCTTAAGGATCGTCTTGAGATCCTTGTTTCTTAGTGCGGACCGAGACTTTAGGCATTTTCGCAGTTAGTACTGGGCTCACGTGTTGTCTCCAATCACTAATTTTACATGTCTCTGCAGGCCAGGGAGTATCAGTAACTCGGTCTCATCCACAGCCCTAACCTTTGCATGGCCACACAACACTAGATCTGCGTGAAAAAAAAAAAAAAATTTTTTTTCTAAAAAAAATTATGGATTGAAGGACAGGCCTGCATGGTGGGGGTGGCACGTCATGATGTAATATCCCTGGGATACTCACGCCCGCAGAAATAATCGCAGGAGGGATACTGGGGTTCTACGACAGTGAATCACGGACGACGAAATAAATACCCGATGGTCACCCTGCAGATGCGATCAGCTATTGCGGATACACTAAGGATTAGCTGAAGCTAAAGCACGCTGGTTCACGCCGTCTGACTGTGTTCAATGCTGGCTGTAGGGATGGTCAATGGCCTAGCCGTTGACCTCAGCTTGGTGCTGGCTGTGCCCAAACAGCCACCCATTGTAAGCCTGGCTATCCCAATATGTGAGCCATTTAAGGGTAAGTAATTTGAAAAAAATGACGGCATCGATATTTGAATAAGTGGGGGGAATCCTGGAGGCGTGGCTTGTGAGATGGGCAATATATCGGGTTTGGCTCACAATCTAGCCCAATTCTATGAACTATATTCTCTTTGGGTACTTGAAATCTTCCCTTTTCCCCTCAATCACAGCCTGCGCCTCTTTCTCACCGCTCCTTTTGTGCGTCGCCCGTCGTGCTGGAGCTTGAGACAAATGACACTAAGGCACCCACACGATGGGTCACGGTCCCGATTGAGAATAGCAGAGTATATCTGACAAGCGACGGCGCTTGGCGGGTGGGCCAACGATCTTTAGGTCGCACGGAGGACTCTCTTAAGAGACAAGATATGCAAGCGATGGGTCGGGGCGTCGGAGGCCTGAACAACTGTGGAGTATGGGAACAGATTGATTTTGATTGACCTGACAAGGAATACGAGGCCTATAGACTACTTTGCGGCATCCCCATAGCTCTATGATGCCAATTCCCGCTCTTGGAATTGAGTTCAATGGTTACTTTCAGGGAAAATTCCACTAACGGGGAGAGAGGCGAGATGGGAGTCCAACGGGCAAATCAGCGTCGCCTCGGTCGAGGATTGCTCTTCCTTCGACCGTTCTAGTGGATTTTCACGAGAGTGTTGGGTTGGTCATGGCCATTGATTCTGATTTGCGGTCGTACACCCATGACCATCACTAAGCATGCAGACCGGGAATCCATGCAGGGCCAACGCCAGATGAGCACCCAAGCTGTCGGGTCTTTTGACAACAGGAATTAAGCCCAGGGCCGACAAGGCATATTGGCAGCGATCCCAGAACCACGGTTCAGCTTCGGGAAAGCAGTGCGCAGCGCCGGAGACTACAGCGGTTAGGCCCGCTAGTGTGGGCGGACTAAAAAACCCACCCACATCGTGCTACACCACGTCGCACGCTCGATGGAGTACCAATCGCTTTATCATTACGTTGCACGCTTGTCGTCATTTTAATTAATTATCCTTTTTTTTTCACTGTATTTTTCTGCCGTCTCTTTTTTTTTTTTTTTTTGTTTTTTTTTTTTTTTTTTTTTTTTTTTTTTTTTTTTTTTCCGGGTGCTTTGACCATCTGTCACAGTCCCTCCACAATATCTCGAGATCTGTCTGTGCGTACCGATCGACGTCGAAATGGCAAAAACAATTAGTATCCAGAGTAATTTGGTGGCAAACCAGCTAACAGACATAGAGAGAGAAGATCATTGCATTTGGTTCATATAACGTCATACAGTATACATCTACACCTTCATACTCCAGTGGCCCATATCATCGTACCAACATCTACCTAACCTCCAAAGACCCAGTCATATGCTTGACACTAGCATCAATGATCTCCATCACAAACGCAGCCTCTTGCTCAGTGCGTGGGGCATAAATCAAAAGATATTCTGACGGAAGCGAGATGACTTTTCCTCCAAAAAGGGCCTTGGGAACCTAAACCCCAGATAATCTATGCCGTTGCCCCCAACCAGCTTCAATCACTTTCTTGCCTGTTAGTCATGTCCGGGTCAGTCTCATGTCTAGAGAAAACATGTATACTCTTCTTTGCTCCGTGCGACAGGGTATCAACGGGGTAGCAACAGCGAATCAAGATGGGAAGAGGAATCATACAGTCAGCAGGAGCCAAAGTCAAATGCAGCGAGAAGTCCTTCAACCGATGGATATGCGCAATCTCGCCCCTCATCTGCTTCGCAGCGGGAGTCGGGAGAAGGCCGTCGGCGAGAAAGAGGGCGTCGGCGTGAAGCTCGAGCTTCGACGGGGCAAGTGCAACGAGGTGTTGGTTGCGATTGGCGAAGGCGTAGAAGTCCCGATTCAATTTCTTTATCCCCGGTAAGTAAGTACATACCAAAGTCTTGTATGTGCATTACACTGTTGCATATTCGTGACAGACACAAAACCCATATTAAATAAAAAAATCAAAATAAATAAACACAAACAAATCTATGCGCATCACAATACATACCTCCTTAATCTCCTCCGACGGAAACTCCGTAATCTGTCTCTGCGGTACAATATGCGGTCCAACCTCAGGCCGATGATCTCTCTTCCTCATGCTGTTCCATTCATCACCGAGATAGCTCGTCGTCTCGCCCGCTGCAATCTTCGCATCATAGACCCCCGTCGAGAACATCTCCCTCCCCCACGGCGGAAGAATCACACTGGCCGCAAACCATCCGATCAAGTTATACGGCACTCCACCGGGCCCATAGGAGAGAAAAGTCCGATAATCGCGATACACACGAGGAAGGGTAAATGCCACTACCGCCGCCGACAATGCAGAAAGAACAACCCGGGTATTATTGCCTGATTGTATCGGGAAGCGGAACTGAGGGATATGCGAGGAGAAGAAAGTCGAGGCTTTTTCGAGTAGGGATGTCATTTTGGATGATTAGGTAGGTACCTGTGATGTTGTAGTCCGGGTTGAGATTGTATAGTATAATTATAGGCTTGTGTTTTTGTTTTTGTTTTTGTTTTCCTTCTATTGATAGTAAATGTTTTTCTAGGTAGGGTGGCCACGGTCTTGATTTATACTATTTATATAGTAGTAGTAGGTGGTAGCTGAATCGACGAAACCCGTGACAATGATCTACCGGGGGTTGCCGGTCGGGTTCGGGATTGGTGGCACTGCACCAAGGGATTGCGTTGTGAATGTACGAGCGGACCAATCATGTTGGATTATTGTGGATTGGGGGTTTGGGTTATTTGGGTGTTGATATTTTAGGTGGTTGCACTATTGGATAGGTCTTACGCAAGTAGGAACCCAGGTTATCGCAAGGTTCGCCTGTTTGGTCTGCTTAGGTACTGGTAACTTAGAGATAGGTTGGCATCGTAGGTAAGATGTGGCCCCCAACTGGTGGATGGGTGCGGGTTGCCTGGTGTTGGGGGACTGGGTCTGGATTTACTGTATAAGGTTGGTTGGGTCGGAGGGCTCGAGGACTGCGAGGCTGGTCTACTGGTTCGTGGAATCAATTGATGGGTGCTACTATCCATGGTCTCTATGCTATATGTGGTGTATGGAAGGGTTGTCAATAGGATGTCTGTACTGTCTACTAACCAGAGATGGTGGCCTTCATTGTGCGCCGGTCATACAGGAGTTATGTGCAAAGCTAGACGGCATATTCTCGCGTGGGTATGATACGATTTCCCTGGTCAGACGAATCAGGTCGCTACTCGATACGCAGAAGCATTCAAGCTTCCTTTCGCTTCACGCTCCTCCACTCCATCCCCAGCGCTCCAATCATACTGGCGCAAGCCAGACCGACGGGAAGAAAGAAAGCCGTCGTCAAGGCCTGATCGTAGCCCTCAATCACTCGAGGAATATCAGCGGAAGGAACATACTTCTCCAAATCGGACATTCTCATAGCCGACAACGAGTACGTGTCTAGGTTGGGCAACAACGACCCCAAACGCGTGAGCAGCTGTCCCGTGAAGATAGTCTGCGCGATAGAGACGAAGAGAGCCGGTCCGAAGTTTTGAGCGAAGATGATCACAGCAATGCCCATCGGGGAATCATCGACTGGTAGAATAGTCTGGGCTGCGACCTGAGGGCCTTGAAAGCCCACGCCCGCCCCTACGCCCAGGAGCGCCTGGTAGCAGAGAAGAGAGGCCAGGGACTGCTTCACTGACAGTGTTGTTAGCAAACCTGCCGCAATGGGGGTCAATATCCCGGTCAAAATCATGAACGGGGCATAGTATCCCAGAAGGCTGGTGGCGGAGCTTCCACACATGACAGCAACAGGCACGCCGATCGCGATGGGGAGGCTCAGCACACCGGATACCGTGGCGGATACACCGCGAACGACTTGAAAATAGGTTGGCATCTAAGAGTGAGAAAAATGTCAATCAATGTAACCGGGGGGGAAGGGAGTTGAATTTGGTCGTACATAATACTCGAAAACAGAGAGTGTGGAATTATTGCAAAAGGAAAACCACATCCCGGCGAGCAAACTGCGACGCCGCATGATTCGCCCCGGAAGCAGGGCGTTATCACCTCTTCTCCTTTCCTGCCACATGAATGCACCCAGAAGAACAGCCGTCAAGATGAAGAGAACAATGATCCGTGCGTTTCCCCATCCGTACTTGGAGCCACCCCATTGTAGGGCTAGCAACAAAGACGTGATCGAGGGCACAAAGATGCTCGTTCCGAGGAGATCAAGTTGGCGAAGCTTTTCTCCCCATGGAAGGTTTACCCGGGCGTTCTTCTGAGGGTCTTCGAAGAAAAGTAAGATCAATAGGAAGGACAAGCCCCCAATGGGCAGGTTGATATAGAAACACCATCTCCATGAGGCAGAATCGGTCAGTGCTCCCCCAAGTAGTGGGGCTACAGTCGCCGACGCACCCTCAACCCCAGCCGCGATACCAGTGAAAAACGGACGTCGACGGAGCGGAAAGCTCTGCACTACCATGCTATAGTTCCGCGTGTTAGCTGGAACGGATAGTTTACTGGCATACTAGTGCAAACGAACGTGAAGACTCCAGATATGATACCCGCACAGCCCATACCAGAGATCGCACGTCCCAGAACCAGCGCGGCGGAAGTGGGTGATATACCGGCAACCAACGACCCTATCTCGAAAATGACGACTGAGGCAACGAAAACGTGTTTGACTGAGAATAGATGGTACAGCTTGCCAAACATAAATTGGAACGAGCAGGAGGTCAAGCGGCTGTGCTCCGTTAGCGCATCGAACTGATTCCGGAAAAATGGGAGAAACTGACTATGCCGAGTAATACCAACCAACATCTTCAATGGTTCCGAAATGCGTGGTAATATTTGGTAACGCTGTCGCGATCATATTGAAATCCTAAACGTCTCTCTTAGCATGAAGTGGTTCCATCGGCCTATGTGGCATCCAGGGGCAAGAAAACGGACCAAACCAGTGAGGATCAACGACATGCACATGGCAAGGAGCACGACAAGGAATTGAAAGCCGGTGGGATACTCCATGCTCTCTTCTTTACATGGGACATCTTGTACTTGTAGCATCAATGTTGGAGTGCGAGCCTCATCTTCGGGAGCCATCATGGCGAAGACACTACAGCCCGACAAGATGCGAGTTGACAGCGTATGAGTTTGAGGTGGACAGCATTTTATACCTGCAATGGTCGGGGTTCGGAATAGACTAGGTATACGATATACAATGGAAGGCGTCCACTGCGCCCGGCCTCCGTAACATGACCGATAATTCTCAGCTTTCTTATTCAGCTGCAATTGATAAGACAAAGTCGAAAGCATCGAATATCGATAACTCCGAACTCCGTCACTACCTCCGTTTAATCATGTCCAACAGCATATAATTGTAAAATCAAGTGTCCTCACCGGGGTATTTAGGAATCCATAACAAGGTATCGCCTCCGATTCTCCTTCCATGCTAGAAAAAAGACAAAAAGAACCATTTAGTCCCAAAGATGCCGATACGCCCTTTCCTTGAAATACCGGGTCGATTTCGACCGAATCAGGTAGTGGTTTTGTGTCGAACATGCCCGTTGTATCCTTCAGAGATACTTTCTATGGGCTTAAAAGTGGTTGATTAAAGTTGGGCTATTAATAAGAGGCTTATACAATAGGCCGGTCGAGACTATCATAACCTTTGTGTCAACTGAACGAGCGTATTGATTCCCCGGTCTGGTGCCTGACCATTTCCCAGGAATCCAGTTGTATCATTAGATCGGCTTCAATAGCCAAACGGGTGTGGAACTGTCTCAGTCATCCTTGCTAATCGAGCTTAGGGCATGCGCAAGTTTCAGGAGGACAACACTTTCAGTGGCAGCGAAGTAGTTCAGACTGTATGATGGACAAATCAGCATTGGACACAGTCTTAGAAAGTTTTTGGGCGAACTTACCTGTCCATCAAGATGCGTAAATGTCGACTAAAATGGTCTTCATATCGTTTCAGCGTGTCCTCAAGCTTGCTGATCCGCGAGGGGTCGTAACCCCTTCCGTCCGGATTCGAGGCCTTGTTCCTCGAAAGCTCTGGGTCAGCCGTCGCCAAAGCCCGTGCAAGCGACGAGGCAGTCCAAGATGCAAACATGGTGCAGCAGGTCATCAACTTGGAATGAATCTAAGTTTTTATTAGTATTGCTGCGGGAAAATGCATCGAAACCACATGACACACCTTCAGTAATTTAGCTTGCGTTAGCATGCATTCTTTGAGGCATGTGTCCAAGAAATCCACATGGTCCTGCATTAATTCATCGACAGTTCGGTTGACTTGCTTGGTGCCGTTCACAGTCACTTCGGACCCGTCCGCATCCGTCCCGTTCACACGATCCATGAGATTTTGCCAGTTTGGCTCGATGACTTCGGCCGTGCAGAAATAAAGAAGCTGCTGGACGAAGACAAGCATCTTGGCGCGCAAGTTCCACGCCCGTCGCTTCCACATCTCTAGCCTCCGGTCTGTGGATTTGTGGCGCCAGCCAAGAACCTTGTTCTGGTCTAGCCAGGCCGTAACTAGGAGGTGCTCGAGATGACGGAGTGAGAGGAGGTGGCGGAAAATGAGTTGATATCGCAAAACAGTCTTGCGACTAATGACCAGAGACAGTGGGAAGGGGACGGAGTAATCCAATTCGAGCGCATCAAATCCAGCAATATCTTTTTCCTCATCTCCACCTTGTGTTTGTGGAGCCTGGTATTTCTCAATCGCTGCCTCAGGGTTGTCCTGGTCAATTCCAGAGACGCTTACGACCTGCATCAGCCATTTTGTGAGACCAATCTTGTTCATTCGAACTTTCACATCTTCCTTGAAAGGATCTTGTGCAGCTATGCTACCCGGCTGACGTAGAACAAGATCAAGCAACGACTGTAGTTTGTTTTCGTTGACGCTTTTGGCCGGCTTGCGCAACTCTGAGGCGCCAAGCTCGAGGAAATAAGAGAAAAAGTCGGACCGGTCCAAAAAGAAGTAATGTTTGAGGGAGCGAAAGCGAGTAGTGAGAGAGTTCTTCGTTAAAAGAAGATTCAATAAAGAGGCATTAGCATAGGTGTAGGCGGCGTTGACGTTCTCCAGGAAACGTGGATCGTCCAAAGTCTTCGGCACATCCTTAACCGCTTTGCTGATATCGACACCACCGCATTCTCGTACTACATTCAAATACTTTCCGGCCAATAGAACTTTGTCGCGCACGCTATCTAGCTGTGGGGGAACCTCATTTTCACGAATTGTATACCGTTTCTCCCAGTATTCATCTGTGTAGTCTTCCTCAAGCTTCTCCCGTTTGATCCATTTCTGCTCTTTAACGAGGAATTCTGCGTGAGGGTCCTTGATACCTCCATGATGGAGCCACTCATTGAGCATAGCCATATATGGTCGACTAGCTTCACGAAGTAATTTTTCCAGAAGAGTCTTCGTAGTCGGGTCCCCAGAAAATGTTGCTAACCGCTCGGTTAGCAGTCGAAGAACGTTACCTCCTTTACAGATCTTCTTGCTGGACATGGCGCCAGGAACAAGGTCGCCACCCTCTTTGAGCTGTTCGAGAATGTTGTCCACGTCATCAAAATCATCGATAGATTCGTCCAGGTCTTGGTCCAATAAGCCGTTGCGCCGAAGTAGTTCCTGGCCCAATGAGTATAATTGGGCTAAGCATTGGCTTGTCGGCATGGTGTGTAAATGCAGAAGATGTAGCGTGAAGCTTGGGTTGTTCACAAGTTGGGTTTCAAGTTGAGCAACAAGGATCAAGTAGTCCTTTAGGAGCTTTCGGATCGCCGCGCATAGCGCATGACTGACTGCTCCATATTCTGCACGGCTTTGAACCTCCACAAATGCCTCCAAAGCACTGTAATGAGTCGCCATCTTTAACATGGACAGAGTAAGATCCCTTAAGGTTGGGTCCACGCCTGATGGCAGCTGAAATACCGGACCAGTCAAACGGTCCTTCTCAATAGATGAATCATATCCACTATGATAATGAATATACTGGCCTTCAAAGCCCATAAACACGAATAGTAGGTCTTCCAAGAGGGCTGTCTCTTGTGCGTCGGCAGAAAGCTCGCGAATTGAGGCCGGGTGAAGCGATTTGGGTAAAGCTGAAGCAAGAGAAGGAACTGATACTCGAGTGGCCAATGGTGCTGTTGAATGGGATATCAACGAGGCATGTGGATTCCATGACACTGGGATGATTTTATGGTCAGCATCCTAGATAAATGAGCGCTTGCGATGAAATGGCTATCACTAACACTCCACTGGCTCCTTATCCTTCTTTCGCATATTGGGACTAGCACCATCCGTCAGAGTAGCCCTCCTTGAGCGTGACCTTTCCCATTCCCCTTTGTTTCCTGTGCTAGAAGACTCCTTGGCCGGATTTCTCGCTCGAACTTGAGCTTTGTCTTTCGAATGAGGTGCCATTCGTTCGGCACGCTTGTCGCTCATCATATCACGTTGCTCTCGAGAGGGCTTGCCCTTCTGACTCGACGTGCTCCCACGATGATTTAGCTGTTCCGATTGCAATGGGGACGCACCGCTGCGAGCATCACCGACGCGATTCGAGGAAACGCGGGGTCGTGGTGCGCTCATGTAGCTGGCGCGACGGTCGTTGACGGACATTGTCCCGCGAGATAAACAGTGTAGGGTCGACCATGCATAGACTGAGAGTAAACGCAAGGGATAAGCAATGAAATGGGTAAAAAAGAAACAAGGAATCGAATACAGAAGTATATTGTTGCTCTGTCACGTTCCGCAGTTACAGTAAGCAAATGGAGACTAGTGCAGTGATGCCTGATGCTGGCCTGAGGCGAGCACGGACTCTCCGCCAGGCACTCAGCGGACTTGCGTAGACCTGGAGCTTCGCCCGAGCTTCCAAGAACAGCTCCCAACACCATCTTCCTCCCTTCCCTTGCAAAGCTACTTCCCTGTTTCCTCCCCAGAATACCTCATCAGTGCGCCAATATCAACTGCAAGTGTCATTGTACTGCCACAATAGTCCAACATGTTCATCGCGCGATCGGAATATGGTAAGCTCCGTCAGGCATCTCCCCTCCAATGCGGGCTATCTAACAGCTTTCTCTCCAGACCGTGGAATCAAGTATGAAATCATCCTATCTTACCCACCTAGACGAAGAGGACTTCTTGGGCTCTAATGATAGAATTATTACAGCACCTTCTCCCCCGAAGGACGTTTATTCCAGGTCGAATACTCTCTTGAAGCTATCAAACTAGGTTCGACAGCGATCGGTGTATGTTTCCCGCATCTTCCAAATAATCCAGTCCAGAAAATCCTAGGCTTGCCACATAAACTATCTGGCCGTGCTACACTACACAACCGGAACCCAACGCACCGTTCTGACATCATATCAGGTCGCAACCAACGAAGGCGTCATCCTGGGCGTTGAGAAACGTGTCACATCTACTCTTCTTGAAGCCTCTTCTGTCGAAAAGATTGTCGAGATTGATCAGCACATCGGCTGTGCTATGTCCGGTCTGCAGGCAGATGCCCGGAACCTCGTCGAGCATGCCCGCGTTGAGTGCCAAAACCATGCCTTCCACTATGCTGAACCACTGCGAGTTGAGAGCTGCACCCAGGCCATTTGCGATTTGGCCCTGAGATTCGGAGAGACCGGGGATGACGAAGAAAGCGTGATGAGTAGGCCTTTTGGTGTTGCTTTGTTGATCGCGGGTTTTGATGAGGATGGCCCTCAACTGTAGGTTTCTCTTGGTGTCAGATCAGCCTTTCCAGAAAACATGTGCTAATGTCGCTAGATATCACGCTGAGCCATCCGGTACATTCTACCGATACGACGCGAAGGCCATTGGGTCCGGAAGCGAGGGTGCGCAAGCGGAACTGCAGAACGAATATCACCGCTCCCTCACTCTAGAAGAAGCGGAGACACTGGTCCTCAAGACACTGAAGCAGGTCATGGAGGAGAAGCTAGACGCCAAAAACGTTCAGCTTGCCAGTGTGACCAAGGAGAAGGGCTTCCGTATCTACAATGATGAGGAGATGGGACGGGCTGTTGCGACCTTGGGTGGTAATCAATAAGCGAATTAATGCACAATGATTGTGATGAGCCTATGCGTTATATTGAGAATACATGTCATACATGGGCTGGTATTTGTTCTGGAAGTCGAATAGAAAAGATCTGTCTAATGATTTATCCCTCAAGCCTTGTTCCGACCCGATAGGACTTCGCTGATATCAAATACAACAAAGGTATGATTCTTATATACAGGTCGCTGCACATCTAGACTCTTCTCCCTCTACCTAATCTTATAGACACAGGGCTTAAGAACGGCAGCCTCTTCCGCAGGGGACATATTGTTACCGGCATCAGCTGGTTTTTCAATGAACCTCTTCTTGCCTGGTCCAGCTTTTGTACCGGTCGCGGATGCATGCTTGCCCTTTGACGGCGCAGGGCCTTGTTTGACAAACACCATCTTCACAAACATCTTGTTGGACTTGTCCACCGACTCAGGCTTGAGGACGAAGCCTCTCGTACGAAACACTTCAACGAATGAAGATATATCTGTCTCGTCGTTATCGGCAGGACGGGCATCTTCAGCGTAGACCTCTGCGTCGTCGGCGTCAGAATCAGCATCATCGGCTCCTTCGCGCTTCTTGAGCTTTTTCTTCTCCGACTTGCTGAGGGGTTTCCTAGCTCCAATCTGTGCTTTCTTGCGCATCACTTTGCCGAAACGGCTCTTAACCTCGCTCACCCAGCATTCTCCCTTGCCATCACTACGCAGTACACGCCATGCTTCTTCCACGAATGATACCCAGTTGGTGCCCATCAGACTGAGACAGAAGATAGCCACATCAACGCTACCATCATTAACTGGGAGGTTCGAAATATCCGCTTTGGTAATAGGGGAACCTTCAGGGGCGTGCAAGTCATAGCTGTGAAAGTTCAGCTTCAGCTTTTGCGCCGAAGGGATAAGTGCACGGGCAAGCTGAGCGTCACCACAGCCAAGATCGGCGATGGTGCATGTCCCATTGGGTCGCCGAGGTAGCGGGTCACGAGCTTTGCTGCCAGATTTGTCTCCTTTCCTGGGTGCAGCCACCTTAGCTCTGGATCGGATGGACTGAATATAACCATCAACAGGATTCGAAGGCCAGGATTCTTTCACCTGGCGAGAGAAGCCGGCGTGGTATTCGTCGAACAATTCTGGACTGGCGGTGAACAGCTCAAGGGCCTTACTAGACGGCGTTGTGTAAAGAGTTTCGTTCAAGTGACGGAAACGAGAGGAGATCAACTTCTGACGCATGGCTTGCTGCAGAGGCGTAAGAATCGCCTCAGTCTTAGGCGGGGCGGGAGTGATAGATCCAGTGGCTGCTGGGGCTTCTTTAGAAGTCACTCCAGTTTGAGTATGGGTTTCCTGTTGCTGTTGCTGCTTGTTCTTGTTCTTCTTGTTCTTCTGCTTCTTGTCCGCCTTCTTGGCTTCACCAACATCAGGCTTGGGGGGCTTGTCCAGCTTGGGTTCCTCTTTTCCTTGAGACACTGATGGGCTTTGTCCAGCCTTGGCTTGCACATCTTGTTCCTTCTTCTGTTTCTTCTCAGCCTTCATAGAGTTCGGTCCCTGCTTGGAAGGCTTCGGGGTGCCCCTCTGACCCTCAATATGCCGGCGGTACATCTCATCGACATTTGCCTTAGTAACGTGATCATCGCGCTTGCGCTTGTTGTTCTTGTCCTTAGGTTTGGGGGTTCCATTGGCCTGTTGGGGCTGGGCTTGAGATTGTGATCTTGGCTCAGTCTGCACCTGCAGAACAGAGCTCGAAACCGACCAACCTGGAACGGCGAACATGACTGCAGTGGAGGAGTGAGTGTATCACGCTATATGTCAAGGGAAGCTAACTTGAATGACTTCAACTGATTCGTACTAATCCTGCAATGATCTCACTGTAAAATCCACTGTGAACGAATGGCCGATCATGTGAAGTAACCGCTCCAAAAATTTCTGGCAGTAAAAGGCGGGATTCGAACAAAATTTCGCGGTTAGTTTGTTATTTTCTGCCGACCCATGGAAAGGCGGTCAATATGATGATGCACGACGAGGGTCATGGATGAGCTTCAGGTTGAGACAAGGCCCAGAACAAGGTCTTTTCTTCACCTTTGTTTTTCTTTCCTTTTCCTTGGAATGGCAATGGTTTGGTGGCTTACCAGGCCTCGTACAGATCAAAACACGAAGTCTCCTTTCTTTCCTCCCTCACTTCTTTCTTTTCCCTTTCTATATACCCCCTTAACAGTTCAACACAGTGTTCCTATCAACCAAAGTGATAGGATACCAGGCCTCAGAAACTGGATTCTTGATGAGGGTGTCGCTCCTGCCCGCGGGTTCGGAGTAAGTATGCTTACGGTGGATCTTACCGGTGTAGATCGTATTAGTATTTCCTCCCACGGACATCTTTATTTATAGTTTTAAACCTTAGCAACGTTTAAGACGGGGCTGCATCTTTTCCGAGTACGTACAGCATTTGCTAGTTTGAGATCGCCGTTCCTTGTCTGGCATTTTCTTTGTCCTGGCCGTGTCGGCACTGAAATCTTCATAAAGACGGACCGGCACATGTCTCATTCCTGTGAGACTAATATATTATTTTAGCATTATAGGTAAACCTACACCAAACAAAAAATAAAAATAAAAATAAACCAAATAGGAGAGGACGGACGCAAATGAACAGAGGAACTAGCACTAGTCTGTCACCTTCTCAAGCCCTCCCAGGATCTGTGAGTTGATCGGGAAACTTTATGCGGTACCTCAGGCCAATCAGATTTGCCTCAGGCCCTCTTCCTCCTTGGACTAGTGTAGTGCTTTTACTCTCTGTTCCATTAGTTACTTCAACGCTGACTTCTTCGTCGCTCCACTGCTCCGGCCGGAAGCTATCTCGGTGTTCACTATATCATTGCTGTCATCCCTAACTGTCTGAAGACCCCCCACGCCTTCTTGAGTATGGAAGTAAACCTCCATCCGAGTCTTGTCAACTACCATGGAGAATGCGAACTCTATCAAGCAAGAAGCTTGGGTCAGCACCACAGCTACAGAGCCGGATCGTGACTACTCAGGTGTCATAAAACAAGACGCAGAGAAGACAGCGCCGGATGATGCACTGGCCCAGAAAATTCCCAAAAGACGCACCAAAACAGGATGTTTAAGTACGATTGCCCCTAATTGGATCCCTTAGATGATAGATTTCTTTGACTAATTGTTAAAGCTTGCCGGCAACGTCGCATCAAATGCGGGGAGGAGAAACCTGTATGCAAGAACTGCATCAAATCGAAACGAGAATGCAAAGGATATGCCCAGCGCCTAGTCTTCAAGAACCCTCTGGGTATTCCCGGGTTCTCGAGCCTCCAGCAGACGTTCAACACAGCAACAGTACCAATTTCTACTGGATACGATGCTCCTATATCGTTGCCTGAGAAGCCAGCTGGCTCTCGCCAACCGACCCTCGCCCCTAAGCCGGTTACACTTCCAACCACGGGGCAGGATCCTATGCCGACCACCGTGCTTTCGCGGCCACAGGAAAGCCAGCAAGCTAATGCTATGCCGACAGCTTATCAGCTGGGTGAAGGGCAGACTCAGACATATCCGGCGTCTGAACACTATATGGCTCCAGAGCCTCCTTCCTGGGTTACATCACAGTCTCAGAAAACGGAATCTGAGATCAGGGAAAACTACATACACCATGGCGCGCGTGACCTTTCTATTCAAGGCTATTACCCAGATATCCAAGAAAGCAAACATCCCTCACACTCATCTGCCATGCCTCAAAGTCTAGCAAACAGCATAATACATCCCCAACCTCCTTCTGCTATACCCCAGGTAAAATACCAAAATACGCGTTCTATGACTATATTGGTTAGTGCTAACACTCTGGGAGGTACCGAACTCGACCTGGGCGGCTTGCTCAGCTGCTCCCCACGAAGAACAGCAATTGCAACAAGTGACACCGGCACAGATATCAATATCTCCATCCCAGATAACATATATGGATGAGGATGAGGATGACTACTACGATGTTGAGACCGACGAAGAGCTAGAAGAGCAGACATCAACGCAGAATTTCAATCAATTGAGTCTTATAATGACCTCTGCCAATAGAGATGAACGGCAACTCCGCTCATTTACAACATATCTGAACGAGCCTAACGTCCTAGCTTCATATCACCCTACCCTCGGTTCATCCCCGTTGAACAATCCCAAAACCGCTCGAATATTTCTTCATTTCATCCACTCCACAGGCCCTTCTCTATCAATCTTTGAGCGTCACCCCATCGACCCTTCGACTATGTTCGGTGCTCCGGTCCCAGCGGCACAGCAAGGATTGTGGACGTACACGCTGCCTTTCAAGGCGTTGGAACACCCGGCATTGCTTCAAGCTATTCTTGCGCTTAGTAGCTTACACATCTCATTCTTGCAGCAAGCGCCCGCCACAGTCTCTTTGAAACATTATCACTATGCCCTCAAGAGAATCGCGGCGGCAGTTGGCCTACCCATGAGACGTAAACAAGTTGGCACTTTAGCTGCGGCTCAGTTATTAGGTTATTACGAAGTGATGGCCGCCGATCCTTCAAAATGGAACAACCACATTGCAGGAGCAGCTCAGCTAGTGCGCGAGATCGACTATGCCGGCATAACGCGAGACCTTCGTGCCTACCGACGCAGAATATGTGCCCAGCGATATGAAATGGGCGGCCTCGCCTTCCCGTTAGCTGGGAGTCATTCTCTTAGTAACAGATTTTCAGAAGACGATCCCTTTGCTGAAAAGGAAAGTAGCATCGATGAGAATATCATAGGTACTATCATCGGTCGAGCGGTTAACTATGACGATTTTGGCGAAGTCGATGATGGCTATGATGGGCGATCTTCTAAAAGATACTTCACCCGAAAAGATATCGAGAATTTCCGGGTCCAATGTGACCTTTATTGGTGGCATTTTAAGCAGGATATTTTTCAGAGCATGCTTACCGGTAATGAGATGTTGTTAGTAGAGCTCCATACCACTAATTGAAACCTCATGAGCTAACGGCAAAATAGCATGCCCAGTTCCCAATGGGGCCAGTGCCCTCCACGAGCAGGTTTGGGCAGATTGGACGCTATCTACGGCTCAGCAGACCATCTGTGGCTCCTACTCGCCCGAGTAACCAATTTTGGGATTCGGGATAGGAAAAGAAAAATAGCTGCCATGGCAGCGACGGGATCAAATTGGAGGCCGGGCCCTGAACTCTCCAAATTCATGGCCCGTTTCGCTAAGGGCCCCCCGGATGCACGGGCCAGACCTGCTTCGAACTCGTCGTCCAGCACATCTCCTGCCTTTTCTGGTGTCCCTGCTGGAGCACAGGCGCACGGTGCCAACAGCGCCGGGTCTAGTCCGTGGTCTGGAGGTGGGTCGGAAAAGTCGGTATCGGGAAAATCCCCAGAGCCACGCCAGTCACACAGCAATAGTCCTGGAGCACAACCAGGAGCTCCTCCCATGTACGGTATGGTCCCAGCGAGTGGACCCAAGCGGCTGCCTTTAGCGTTTGGTGAGGCAACGACTCAAGCTGGCTCTGTTGGACAAGATGATGACGACTCTGAAACTTTATCGTATACTGAAGTTGAACAGGAATGGGAGAGTATTTTGGCGGCCTTTGAGACATTTGCTCATGCTCTTGGGCCGTATTTCAGGCCTCTACCTTCTGATAGTGCACCTCCCATCTCGACTGTGTTTGGACCCGCCCTTCAGTACCGTACGCATACGATTGCAGTAATCTGGGGCTATTACTACATAGGCCGCATCCTTTTGCACAGAATACATCCGTGCATGCCACCTGCAATGATGGTGGCTGCGGGCGTAGCTGCGCCTACTACGGCGGAATTCTCTCAAATGATTGGAAAGATCGCGGCAGGCATTTACTACCCACAACTATTTAATCTAGAAGCAGGAAGTTTGAGCCCCACCCTGGGCTCCTGCCTGATCGAAATCACCGTGCCTATCTTCTTCGCCGCCGTGCAATTCACAGACCCTCCTCAGCGTGAATGGACAGTCACTAAATTGCGCACCGTCTCCCGCTTAACGGGTTGGAAAGCATCGGATGCCATAGTCCATGGATGTGAGAATGCATGGAGAGCTGCTGCAAAGCAAGGACGTGGTCCCCCCTATCATCCGCCAGACGAGACCGCTGTGCACCAGCCGCCCGCTTGGATGTCGGCTACAGAAAGTCAGGCTAATGAAAACTCCGAGCGACGCTTTGTAAAAGTGAAGCCTCCATATACGCGCTATGCCATGGGGGTTTTGATCTTGGAGGACGAAATGGAAAATTTGGGGATAGACGAGCGGGTGTAGCGCAGTATCCTGCAGCTTGTCAACTAGCGAAAAGTTTGATGTCGTCTCGATCCACATCACGATGACCGAAACGGTATGCGATGAGGTGAGACATCTCCGCTGTCCAAGGCGACTTTCGGGAAAAAGCATCAGGAAAAGAAGGAAACCTCACGATTTAGATTTCCCTGGCAAGACTCATAAGACACATTCTACTGAGGAAGAAGCAGGCAGCCCTAAATGGCACTTTGAGGCTCCACTGTGGCTACCATTATTCTGTCAAAGCTGCAGGACAAGTGTGCGATTACAACGGGACATGATTCGCGGTTTGGCACCCGCAACTCTGCTTCCCGTCTGCTGCTTTCCCGAACAGGAAGAGCGGACAGCTGTCAGCTGTAGGGATGGTACCATATATATAGAGCTACCCGCAGGGACAGCTAAGACCGCAGATCGGCAATGCCCTTGCAGAATAGTGGAGGATGTCTTGGAACCGGAGCGTTTCCGTTGCAGTTGGATTTGTATCGACCATGTGGAGTACCTTGCGTTCTAGACATGGCTATTTGGGACCACTTAGTTGAATCCACATGCTGATATGCATCGGCAGTATCACTTTTCTAGCAGACAGCAACGCCCAGTCGGGATATACGGATTGCGTAGTCCGTAGACTAATACTCTTTCGCCTATGGCGCATAGGTGGATAATGTAATGCCCAAAAGATGCAGGCAGGTGTCGAGCTGAAACTGACAGGCTAGAACTTGCACTGGATTGGGTACCTACTAGCCACATCGACCTTCTCATAGTAGGTACGGACCCTAGATTAGTAGTAGTTCCGGGGGTGGAGCTAGTCGGTCTCGTCAATATCTGATTCTGGGCCCCTGTGTTGCGCTTGGTTAGTGTCAGAGATCGACGACATCTCGCCCATTCAGCATCAGCGGTTGGGCAGGAGGCGACAGTCAGCGTCTCGACGAGAAGAGAAGGCGAAGCCTCGTGGCGAATGGCTAAGAATAACCGTGACCGGGCGCATACTCTGAATCGCGTGTAATTGCTTCTAGCAACATCAGGGCGGAGGGAATAATACGGTATTGGACGTACTACACTGTATGTACACTGATTGCGACTGGGCGCCTCGGACGTCATCGTGAGTGGCCCGTTTTGAAACTCAGGCAGCGGCGTTTTTTATATTTTTTTTTACAATCAATCTATCAACTTTCTTACTTTTTTTTTTTTTTTTTTTTTTTTTTTTTTTTTTTTTTTTTTTTTTTTTTTTTTTTTTTTTTTTTTTTTTTCGATGATGCTCACTCTTCTCTATCCATTCTCGATTAGCATTTATACCCGCCTTGTCAACCCTCTGTTGACCGTCTCGTTCCAGTCCACAATCATCAGCTCCACTGTGCAGAACAATCCAACTCTCATTTCTCTCTTCTCCTAATCGTTATCCACGGTTCTACTGCAAAACCCCCGCCATCAGCCGTCGGCGGCCCGCAGTGTCAGCCGCTGTCGTCACCCACGGTTCGCATCCACCAGATCATTATTAACACCGCTTCTTCTACAAATCCCGGATCATAGGACCTCGTAATTATTAAGCACATGTCTCGATACAACGAATTTCGTCGCTCCACTGGAGTGCTCGAGACAGAGCCTGACCGCTGGGATCCGGATCGTTTTGCTCGTGAGCGACGGGAACGCCATCATTCCCGTGGCCCGCCAGTTCTCGATCGACCCCGCCGGGTAGAGGATGAACGATTTGAATATCGCCTACAGGAACATGACCGGTACGGCCCTCCTGCACGTCGCGCCGGCAGGCAGTATGAGGACGACCACCTCATTCACCCGTCCGGACCGCTGGTGGCCTATGACCATTCACGCGCCGACAGCCCTCCTCCCCGTCCCCGTCTCCTACGACGGCAATCTTCCTTAGATACGTTCGACCGAACCCCCTCGCGCAAGTTAGATGAGTACTACTATCGCCCGGCCGCCACAAGGGCTGCCCCCAGCCCTCCACCGGTGCGGAGACGATCCTTTCGACGCTCGCGCGAGCCAGACTACTACGAGGAGATCCGCATCGCAGAACCGGATTATTACGGTGACGAGGAGTATCGCGGTTTCCGGGAACGAAGTCGCGCTTCAGCGCACCCACGTCGGTCGGGCAGTCATTTCCGCGAGCGCGTAGTTGAAGAGAAGGTTGAAATTGACAAACCGTATCCTCGTAAAGGCAAGACCAGGGTCCCCCGAAAGCTAATTCATACCCATGCAATTCATGAGCTTGGATACCCTTATGAGGAAGAGGTACGTGTCCTCCGGTGGAGCAAATGTGGATTGCATCCACTTCGACGTTGACTGACTCGCGACAGGGTGACATGGTCATTATCAAACTTGCGCTTTCCAAGGAACAAATTGACGAAGTGATCAGTCGAAGTCGCACGATCAAGCGCCGAACTGAAAGCAAGTGACCACGTGCCCAAGACCTAGAAAGTATATTAACTAACAGTCTCCCAGCTCGGATCATCCACACCTCGCCGTCCCCCGTACGGGAAAAGACAAAAGACAGGACAGTAGAACGAGTCGCCATGGAGGCCTATTCGCCCCGGACGAGCTACAACACCCTGATTGTTGAGCCGTCGCCCTCGCGGCACCGATCACGAACGCGTCAATACGATATCTCGGAGCGGAAAGTGACGAGAGCTGTCTCCCGTGCGCGGTCGATTTCGGTCCATGGTCGCCGCCGTGGTCGGTCATCACCCGTGCGCATGGTCGAGCCCTTTGAGTCCAGCAGCTCTCATGCAGGCCCGCTCATCGTAGTGCGTCCCCGAGACAGCGACGAAGATATCCGTGAATACATGCCATTGGCGCGACGAAGCGGTGAAGTGACTCGGAAAACGGAGTTGCTGACCGATGGCGACTATGAAGAGGTGATTGAGACGAAGAGAGATCGTAAAGGTAAGTTATGTCTTGTTCGAAGAAAGCTCTGAGTTGAATTCTGAGTCGTGCGACCCTAGGCCCCAATCCTCGGATCCTCCGTGCGATGATGGCAACCCTGACCTAAGCGTGGTCAGTTCGAGACTTTGTTAGACGATTGTTTCTTACGACTTACCAATCCATATCATGCGTTATGATTCATTGACCTAGACGTTCAGCAATGATTCCTCTGTATGATACAATACTAGGTTGGCCGTGGCTTAAGGGTGTTCCACTGGGGTTCTCGGGGTTTCCGGCTATTGACATTACATGACGATAATAATGACCAATGTTCTCTTTTTTTTTTTTTGCTTTTTGTTTTTGTTTTGATTTGATTTGTGCTGTTGCCATTGTCTTCTTCTGTGATTTCGGGTTGTGAAGGATGATTGCGGTTGATACCAGGGATGGGTCACATTAACCAGATTGACATACTCCTAGTACATACTACATACATTAGTTACTATAGTTAATCCAATGTAATTTATTGTGAAACGTGGCGGTGCCCTGAACTTCATCCAAGGCGGTGAGCGTGCATCCGTGATCTGCCAGCGCTCATAAACCAAACAAATCCTCGTGCTCTGCCTAAGGACAACTTCTGCCCTCCTGAAGTCATCTTTCTTCCCGAAATATCCCTATTCAGTTGTATTGTCTTGACTTGCAGTATGGACAAAGTGCAGGCGTTCGGAAAGAACCTTAGGTGAGATGAAACGACTTCCGAGGCTGCTAGTATCCCACCCCCCTCAATTGTCGCTTCCACCCGTGATAGTCCTCAACATCCAAAGCCCTCTGCTGACATGTTTCTAATCTTATATTGCTTTTGCGGGTAGTGCGAGCTTTTCGCCTTTCGCTGCGCGCACGCAGCAGATGATCAAAGAGCAGTTGGGTCAAGCCGAAGACAAGACTCAACTTCCTGATGAATATCTTGAGCTTGAGAAGCGCGTGGACGCTCTTAAGTTGGTCCACCAGAAGCTCCTTCAGGTGACGTAAGTGACAGGTCTTGAAAAGCCCCCAGAAAGGGTCTGCTGCTTTCCCATGAAAATAGCGCTGACCAATTCCATACAGCTCGCAGTACTCTAACGAGGCCTACGACTACCCACCCAACATTCGCGAGTCATTCAACGACCTGGGCCGGACCATCGGTGAAAAGGTTCAGCTTTTATCTCAAGCTTCTTCCCCTGCGGAGGCCCAGGCTGCCCTGACTGCCCCTCCTTCGGCCAAGCCTCAGCCTAAGACCTTCAACCATGCCATTGCCCGTGCCTCTCTGTCCGGATCTCAGACTCTGGCGCAGAGCTCCACCGGCGAGGATCCTCTGGCCACTGCCCTGGAGAAGTATGCGCTAGCCTCGGAGAAAGTAGGTGAGGCCCGTCTGTCGCAGGATGGACAGATCCAGTCGCGCTTCCTCGCTGGGTGGAACACGACCCTCAACACCAACCTCCTGTTTGCGGCCAAGGCGCGCAGAAATGTCGAGAACGCCCGTCTTATGCTGGACTCGGTCAAGGCTAGCAAGAAGGCAGCTGCTAGGGGTGATCTGGACAACCTGAGCGAGGAGGCCCGTCAGGAGATCGAACAAGCCGAAGATGAGTTCGTCAGCCAGACCGAGGAGGCTGTGAGCGTCATGAAGAATGTGAGTTGTAAATTCTATAGGTGCAGCTGGGAAGTTTGCTAATTGTCTACCAGGTTCTGGACACTCCTGAGCCTTTGAGAAACCTGGCGGACTTGATCGCCGCCCAGCTTGAGTTCCACAAGCGGGCTTATGAAATCCTCAGCGAGCTGGCTCCTGTGGTTGATGGCTTACAGGTTGAACAAGAGGTATGATCTTTTGCGTCGTTTTGGAAGTGTTTATAACTGACTTGTCTTGCAGGCTAGCTACCGCAAGAGTCGTGAGGGAGCTTAGAACACCCCTTTGAATCTATTTCTTCTTTTCGCTCTTTCGTTACGTTCTTCTTTTGGCCAGCTGTTATGGAACCCTCGGATTACGTTGTGAACTACCCCTGATGCACTGTGAAGATGTTTTATATCCCCCAATTTATGGACATGTAGGGTCAGTCGTGGCTCTATTGATGCGTAAAGTTGATTAGTAGACTGTAAAGCAAGTCTTGTAAGCCTGAGAGTTGTTTTTGGAGTGGGCAGCTAAGCATAATCTTTCCACTTTAACATCATGATAAAAACAGAAATAAAATCAAGAGACAGCATTAACCCCCACATAAGATTCCTAAATCTACCCCATGCAGCCTCCTATCGAAGCAAGCCATACGCAAGACAATCCCATTCTGCAACCCATCACCGCCTACCATCCAGCATCTATGCCTCAGGCATCAACATCACCTACAAGCTCCCCCAGCCTTAGAGCTCCGACATCCCATACCTCTATCCCGCGGAGAGTCAACCTCAACGACAACAATCCTCCCACCACCGAGTCAATATCTATTGCTCTTGCTCGTCTCGACCCGCGCCAAATCCCCCGTCCCTTACGAGGCAAGCGGTCCATTCTACCTCCTCGAAGACAACACCGATTCCCGCACCGGTGGAGAAACATCAGAGATACATCGACTTGCGAACAGATACAAACCACCGAACGAAGCCAGCATACCCGCATCGGAACCACCCACTCACTCACGGATTATCTCCACACACAGAAAAAGAAGAAAGAAAGAACAAGAAGACACCGGCTGGTCCCTGTGTCCGACTGCATTGACCCTCCACCACCTACAATCCATAGCTATTCGAAGCAGAATAACCAAGATACAAAATGGCGAACGGGTATGTCTGGCCATCTCCTCACCCAAAAGACCAAGAAAAGGAAAACTAACAGCATGAAAAAAAAAGGTGGAGTCTAATCATCGGCCTGATCGTCATCGCCGTCGCGTCCGTTGTCGCTTGGCTGTTCAGTCCTAAGGGCGAGAACCAGACGTATGTGATCCCCCTCCCATCCCCCTTCAATGTTCTCCTCGGATCTAGGTCTAACGGGTGTCTTAGGCTCTGGCGGAGTACGCTTATCCTCTCGTTTGTGTCTTGTTATTTGATGTGGGGTATGTCTTTTTCTCGCTCTTTTCTATCCTTTTCTGTTTCCTTTGTACTAGGTTTGGGTATTTGGGGTTTGGGTTGGGAGAATGAGTGTGCTGACTTGTGATATGTGCAGCGATTACGTTCCTGGCGCAGTGGCATCCGCTTATTTCGCCGAAGAGGGCGGATATTAGACCTGATCGGGTGCCGCAGTGATTTTTCTTTATTGGGTTCTTGGTTGGGGGGGCTAGGATATATTAGGTTGGGTTTGGAAGGTAGATGAATGAAGTAGTTTATGGGGTTTTTGTATAGCTATCTTGTGTATGCTTGGTACTACGTTTTCTTTCTTTTTTTATGTTGCTACATTGATGTTTTCTCAGCGGTGATTCATAGATTCTCGTGAACGGGATGAGTTTCGTTTTTCACTTGAAAGATTTGATAGGTATTTCCGTTGTATGTTAGCCAACCCCTATTGTTCCTAGGATGACTCTCTGTACTGTCCATCGAGCCATTAGTCCGGCGACTGCTAGTGTTACAGCGCGGAGGTACCCGCATCCTAAGAGGACATATAGGGCTTCGATATTACTTAATAGCACCAAATGTGTATCGGCTGCCCCCAGTGAGAAAAGTGAGCCTGTCAGCTCGACGAAGTTTGCTAGGTAACTTGTCGGTACCGACTGAGGCAGCATCTGAATCAAGCTTTCTAGAAGCGTTGACGAAGCTGCCGATGGTGATCCCGCTATTCCTGACGAGCCTGTGGTGGTGGTGGTGGTGGTTGCCGCGGCGGTCATGCCGCTGAGCGCGTGCTGCGAGAGATTGCCCGGGGTTACGCGACTTGTCCCTACACTGCTGTTGGTGGGTGTCTGAGATGCAATGCCACTGCCGTCGGGGCCCCAGATGACAAGCAGTATCGGGAAAAGTTTGGCACAACTGCTAACGAGAAGTGCAGTGCTGATGGCGGTGGGGCTGGCGGGTGTTGGAGGAGGCAGCGGTTGAATGCTCTGAATTGGAGCTGTGGAGGCGCGGCGCAAAGGAGGTGGTGGTAATGAGCCCTGAGCTACTGAATTGACGGCGTGATTATCACTTCCTAAACTGTTTGCGGCTGAGAATCCTCCGCCCGCTGATGGAATATCGTAAGAGCCTTGCCGAGTGAGCCTAGGTGGACTCAACATGGATGTTGAGGTGGGAGATACTTGGGATTGCGCATTCGTGATTTGAGTTGGAGGAGAGGTATGTACTGGTGTCGACGGGGTGGAGAGGGGGCTATCCGTCGTGGTAGTATTCGAGTTGCTGCCATTCTGCCTCAAGCCCCTAGGTGTTGGGGCGAGTACTGAAGCTAGGACACGGATGGTGAGATGATGGGCAAGAGTCGCAAGCGCATTTAGGCCCAAAAAGAAAAAGTACTGGACAACGATCGGTGCGCGAGAGAGGAAGGTGGTGGCCAAAGAGGGAGACTTCTCAATGCGAGCCCATGTCAGATAGACGTCAAACAAAAGTAGAAGGACTCCTAGACGAATGATAGAGCGCTAGAGAGCAGATACTTTGGTCAGTTGGACAGATCCTAATTCCGAGGACACAGTGGACTAGAAGAGAAAGCAAATGAGAAATAACCGGACGTACATCGAATTGGTTGTTGTCTCCTCCAAGCCTATTGAAAAGGAGATGGCGATAGACCTTCCGTGGTCAGTACATTAGTTTCCAAATAAGCCATCACTTCAATATGCATACCTGCGGCTTGATCAAAACGAGATCAATGAAGATCACGACAAAATCGTATTCAACATACTTATCCGCGAATCGCTGGCAGCGTGGACATTGTGTCAAGCGCACGCCTTTGCCTAACGAACGATCGTCGGCACGACTGTAAGTGCTATACAAATGCGACACGGGGTACGAGCACTCGATGCAGATAGGCATCATGTCATTGACTTCTAGTCATCCTGAGATCCATAGTCAATGTCTACTTCAGGGAGAGGTCAAGGGAGCTCCATCGCGACGGAATCGCGGCGGTTCGGTGTCCAGGCCGAAGGCGGTGAGTGTTCATTGTTATAATGTCCATTTGGGGATACTTTCATCGATCAGTCTAAGTATATACATTCATGCCAGAAACCCCTGCTGCACTTGGTGCATATTATGTACTAGTTCGAGGCAAAAAGAAAGGCCAGAAGTTCTATATCCATCAATCAACAACACCCGTATCGTCCGCCCAACTCGGCTGAATGCTTCGACACACTTGCTCATAATCGGAAAACCGTTGGGAATTCTCGGTCAATCCTGGAGTCGTCCAGAACATAGTCCAATTGGTGTCAGATAGCTTCCACGTCCCCGTAGAGCGCTCGAAGTACCACTTATTCACTGGATTGTCCTTGCGACTGCGCCAACATACCCCGTTGGGGAAACATGAGCGAACCATAGCATTGAACACAATATCGGCCACACCGCCAGCTCCTTGACTGCGTTTCAAGACAGCAAACTTGTCCAGGTATGGGACCATCCGAGCTTCACTGGCCGGGCTACCATCATCTTCCACGCCCGGCGGCAGCTCCCATGTGAGGATAGCACCCCCTTCATACTCTCCTGCAATGATCAGTCCGGCCAACCGATCGTTAACGCGATTGAGATAATCCTGGACGTCGAGTTTACGGTTGAAGGAGTCTTCGATCAAATGAACTAATCGCGGCAGGTCGATGCTCGGATCATCCAGCGTCAGCCGTGGACGATTCTGCGCTGTCCACACCTCAACTCGTGGGTTGGGAATCATTGTGATAGGCATGCCTCGTTTGACAAAAGTTGTATGAGAACTAGGGGAATTTATAGAGCCTCGTCTACGGTTCATCGCCTCTCGTCGGCTCACGGGGAGTGAAGAGGAAAGCAGCGGTTTGTCCGTGAGTAAGTTGTGAATGAGCGGGTTTCGCTGTCGTCGGGTTCCCACAGCAGATACATCTGAAGGGCTAGCCTGAGGTGTCCTAGCTGAATTAGAAACTTCCAGCGGAGAGGTAATAATCCCTGAGGACGCCGATGGGAGCATAGCAAGCACACTTTGCGACAGTTGCAAGTTGTCCAGGTGCCTCTCCAAAGGATCCTGAATGGAGGTATCTTCCCGTTTTGGTGTTTTTGTTGTACAAGCTTCACTGGCCTGTACGTGAAGCAACTCATTCTTGATATCATCAAATTCCTGCTCCATATTGATGAAAACGTGCGATGTCTGCGGTCCATGGAAGGAAGGGATTCCTCCAAGAGGGTCCAGGAGAATTACTCGATCCAAAGAAACCTCCTTTTGCAGCTTAGCGATTTTCTGCGCCGTGAGCCAAGGGTCTTCATCAGGGTCGGGGCGCATCGCCAGGCCGGCAAGCTCTTTTGTGAGGGCCAGAATGGCATCATTCGCAGATATAGTAACTGCCTTAGGGACATCTTCCGTGTAGGCAATGGGGGCAACAACCACAATTTGGCCGTCACGGAGCGGATTGAGGAGTGCCTTTCTGGAAAGAACGGTGGGCTGCTCCGGATACATCGGGGACAGAGACAAGACCGAGTCGAGATGGGCAGACTTTGAATCTGGTTGTCCATCTACTGCAATTGAAATACGTTCGGCTTGTTCTGCAGCAACCCTGCGTAAGGTATTTGCATTGTCCGCAGTTCCAGGGTCAACCACAACACAGCAAGCCATCCCTAGGCGGCTCAACTGGGACAGGGTCTTGGCCACTCCATTGATAATCGTGTCATCAAGTAGCTGCGGTGTCCTGAGTTTAATCAGGGCTAGATGTAATCTTTCCTCTGGTAATTGTAACGGTGGCGGGAGAGGCGTTGAGTCATGGCGGAAAACAGGGCTATCATACACAGACCGCGAGGCTCCGTAGAATGAACCTAGATTAACCCCCGACGGTAGTGATTGCGCAACCGTTTCTTTCGAATGTCTGATGGTCGGTTTTATCTGTGCTTTCGGAGAATGTTGTGCTTTCAGGCGAGCCAGATACGATTTAGCCTCTCGTTTCGTAGACGCGGAGTTCAGCAGACTAAGGAAAAATTCCTATAGCCGGACAAGCCATTGAAGTGGTCAGTGGATACTTCCTGAAACTATTGGTGCTGGGCGACCATCGTACACGATCCAATAATTTTTCCTTGGCCCGACGACCTAGTCGGTCATAGCTTCTGCTGCTGGACGAAAACTCGGCACTTTGGTTGATCGGCCGATCGGAGGTAGAGGACAAGGACCGGCAGTTGGAAACCCCCAAACTTGGCTGACCGACGAAGGGGGAGGTTTGTTGCTGCTGCAGGATGGCAAGGTCAATTGGAAAGCAATGTACAAGAGAGAGGGTTTCACGATTACCTTTAGTAGAGAGGACTTCGCTGTCCGCGGCCAAGTCAGCGCCCTAGAACTCATGTTTCATTGCTATCGAGGATGAAAGAGCCTGATTTCAGGAAGAAATACATAGGAGTTGGCGAAGGAAAAAGCCTGAAGAAGAAAGGTGGTACAGAAGGAGAGCAGCAGAGAGGAGTGAGGGGGGTCCAATTCGGAGAAAACAAAAATGAGTCGATGCGGATAATGACGCATTCCGGTCTCGGCTTCTGATTGGCGCCGATAACACCCGCTGCTCGGAGATTGATAAAAAAAAAGAAGTTATCTCCACAGTTAACAGTTCATGGCGATGATCTTCTTTCACCAGACAAATCCACGCATTGTCGTCGGGAGTAGTGTTCATTCTTGAGTTCCCATTATTGCTTACAATCCCTCGGCTTGGTCAGGAGAGTGCAGCGCTGCTAGAGACTAGCATAGAGAAGTGTAGACGCCAACATTGCAGAATACGGAGTTGTAGGTTCGGAACATGTTGACTCAAACTAGGACCCATTCATGTACGTAATTGATTGATTCTTATTCAAATAGCCTTCAAATGTTTCAGGATGTGGTTCTCTTGGCTGCTCAGCCGTTCCAGGGTGGTCTTGAACAATCGCGGTAACTTCGTCTCCTCATACGTAGCTCCACAGATAATCATCTGCGCAATCGCCTGTGCTGAGAGGAAGACTTGTGGCATTCCATGGCCGTTAAAGCCGGCAATCACCAACTGGCAAGGTTTGTTTGGGATGTGTCCAACATGCGGCAAGGAGTCGGTGCTATAACCCATTACTATGCGCAAAACGTTAGCACCAGCTATTTAATCAAGTCACGAACAAGCTAGAACAAGAGACGCACTTCCCGTCCAAACACGGTCGGTATATGCCCCTGTGTCCTCCCAGCAGTGGAAGTGCCGTTGCATGTAATTGTCAAAGTACCGCGTAGCAGATTCTATCAATCTGCTGTCGTCCGTATTGTTGTACCACTCGCTGGAGTCATGGAAAAACGTAGACTTTCCCCCACCAACAACAATGCTGCCATCCGGTCGGGGGATCAGATAATCATAGTCCCAGGCATTAAAACGCAATGTGTAAGAGCAGTTCAGCGGGGTTTTCGGTGGATTGGGCACCACGATCCGACTACAGACACCTCGTACAGGGACAATCTTGTCTTTGTATTCGGGAGCGATGGCAGACGTATATGCATTACTGGAGAAAACAACCCATTTTGCTCGAACCGAACCTCGGCTAGTCACGACAGTCCAACGTCCATCAATGTCAGGAGTTTCAGATATGCGGAGCACGGGTGTTTGAGTTTGAAGATTGACGCCGGCCGAGACAGTCCGCTCCAAGAGTTGAGTGGTAAATTTGTATGGCCAAAGTCGCCCTGTGCGACAGCGAAAGCAGCCCCGGGCGCCTTTCACGCCAGACACCTACGCAGGGGATGAATATACAAAGAAATCTGCAATGGCTGAGCTGGTACTCACAGCTTCCGCAGTCTCTTTTGGACTGAAATCGGCCTCCGTTGTTGTAAGGGCTCCCTGAGCAAGAAGAGATTCGTATCCCGTCTTGATTTTGGCACAATGATTATCGTCAAGCTGCACATCAACGACCTTGCCGAATTCTAGATCGCAATCGATCTTCTCCTCTTCTACACAAGACTGAACCGCTGCCATATGCGCCAACTCAAAAGCGGCCACTTCTTCTGCTGCGTCAATTCCATATTTATCTGCCAGGGCACTGACTTGGTAATATACATCAGGTTTCAGATGACCGCCTAGGGGGATCAGATGTCAGAGTCAGCACTTCATTAGTTACCTAGATTTAGTTGTGACTTGCCATTGCGACCCGTAGCCCCTGAGCAGGCCTGGCGGGCTTCCAGTATTACTATAGAAGGTTTATCAGCCGACGAGGATTGACTAAGACGCATACAGTGGTATGCAGTTGATACGCCTGCATATCCTGCCCCAATAATGACAATATCACTAGCATCAGGCAGCACCTCGGTTGAGCGATGGCTATCGAGAGAATGAGGCTCAGTGCGCCAGAATGAAGTCATGCCATTGTTGGCAGGAAACGCTTCGGCCATGGTAGCAAGAAGATCGACAGTGTTGTATGCTTTGCTGTCCTGGTTTGTTGCGTTCTCAAGGACTCCTTGCATGCTCTGTTGTAGAAGTAAGGCCCGGTCCCTGTGCATGGACACACCCACTACTGCATGTAATCAGGTGCGGAGAAACCAATCAAGGAGCACTATGTCTAGTGTCAAGGATAGACCATGATGAATCTCCGATATAGCAGTCCATTCTCTATCATGAAGTGTGTTATTAATAGATCACCAATTGGTGGTAAATATTTACAGATATTGCGCAGGCTCATTACTGAGACGAAGATAGTAGGCAAACTTGTCTTAGAAAACCCCCTTACAGGATCCTTGCTGGACTGAGACGTACGGCACGTGTTCCATGACCCGGTTTGAAGTCTCAGTGTGACAAGAGTCCATGCTTAAACTGACACCGAGCAACACATTATTCTCAGGAGTACTGACTAGTTGTCATAGTACCGACGAGTAAAACTCGTGCTCCGTACGGGACCCATCCGGTTACGGGGCAGAAACCGTCAAATTTCTCCATATCT